CTCAGCCGCCTCAGTCGGGAGCAGCGGAAAAGAAAACAAGCGCACAGTACGGCGATAGAAGGCGAGAATGACATCGGCGTGGCGGCAGCAGTAATCACTTGTCAAGTTGACAATGTCAACCCGCTTTGACCTTTCGGCTTTCGCGCGGTGCTGCTGCCACTGCTCGCCCCGCGCAGCTCCGCGCAGCTCCGCGCCGCCACCGAACCGAAACCCTCCGTCTGAGGGAGAAAACTCGAGATCCGATTCTAAAGTGTTGTTTACTCGCAGCCCGCCTCCGCCTCCGCCGCGGCCACTCCACTCCATTCTCGGGCACGTCTTCGGTTTCGCAAATGCGAGTCGCGCTTTTTCGGGACGTCGCGCCGTATGCCCTTCGCGACAAGAGCAGTGCCAGAGATTCGCAGGCCCAATCTGGCCTCCAGCAGCCACCTGGGAATCCCAGGTACTGCTTTCGCCGTGTTTGGATGGAATGTCTGCGACGCAAAGCAGTGTGGCGACGAGTCCGTGTCACTACCCCCGACGATACAAAATTCTGTTTCACCACGGAAATAGGTTTTGGGATGAACTCGCGTCGAATCACATTATAACAGTTGGTGGATTTTTTTCACCAAAACTTGTTTTTTTTTAAAGCGGGCATTAATTTGACCATTGTGAGTGACCAGCAGTCTGGGCGACCGATGCGTCTGGCTGCCTCCCGTGGCGCCGTCTGGCGCCGCTTTATGCTTTATACAAGTTTGTGAAATCCTAAAAGTTGTTGCCGACTTCGAAGTGGAACCCGGACCGGCCGCGAGGTTGTTATGGCAGCGACGCGATGGAACCGTGAAAGCGTCTCGCGTGGCTTGGCCGGCTCGGCCAGCTCGGCCGGCTTGGTGGCGAGAAAAGGGAGAGACTTGCAAAGAAGGCGGCCGGATGCCTACCCCCCCCCCTCTCTCTCTCTCTCTCTCTCTCTCTCCCCCTCTGTGTCGCAAACCAGGGAGGATGGACACCGTTTTTCCGGCCATTTGTCGTCCATCCTGGCCAAATTTCTCCTGCCCGTGAATCGACCGAAAGTTTTGTCCAACATTTGTCCGTCTTGTTCTATCCAAGCTGTGTTTCTTCGACCCATGTACATCGCCACAGGGCCAGGCTACAGCTAGAGAGCGACTCGGCGGCGCTCCATTGATCCTAACACCCACTCTCTGTCAGTCAAGACCTGGCAGCAGGACACCCAAAACAAAGGTCCCTTGTTTATTTGTTTTAGTAAATTTTGTTCTCCTTTAAAAGAATTTCTAACTCATTTCAACGAAAAAATAGAGCACCAGAAATAATAAATTCAACGCGATGAAGAAAATTTCAGCGAAAGAGGGCACCCCGGCGAACCGGCCCTCTTCCCCGCTGGCTTGGTGAGCCAGTGGTTCCCCCATCTCATCACAGGAGCAACCTCAGAGTTAAACCGCAGTGGCCCCGTCATTGGTCACGTCATCTGTGATGTGGAGGAGTCCTCTCATAGTAGGCCAGGCTGCCACCTTTCTCAGTAGTCGGGTTTCGATCCCCGGCCCCCTTCCCACTCAGGGGCCATGCTACTGGTAGTCAGGAGTCTGCGTCACCCTGCCCAGCAGCGGAACCACTGGGCTATGAGAGGCACGCTGGACGCCGGCCGATTTTGTATACTTGAACGAACCGCCTTCGGGCAATGCAAGCTTGGGAAAAACATTTGCTACCGAGCGGGAGTCGAACCTCGAGCCCTTCAGTCCGAACCCGACGCCTTACCGCTCTCGGCCACCTGCCGCATGCGGACACATAAATCGTCAACGGGTAGATCTCGTTGGATCGTGCTCGCGAACGTCGGTTCGGGTCGGTCCCAGACCAAGCCCTGGCGGGCGTGGCGGGCCCGGGCGGCGACTGGCCCAGCTTCGAATCCCGGCAGAAGCCTGCAGTTTTTGTCGGTCTCTGGTACCTTTCAGGTTCTTCCCAAAGAATCTCCACGGTATGTATATATGCCGTGAAATGTTAGAAGCGGTTGCAGCTCTAAAATCGTGGGAAAAAATAATAGCGCCGCCGGGATTCGAAGCTGGTCAACGGTTTTGACCGAAACCGGCGCTCCGGATCGGTTCGGGACCGACCCTCACCGACGTTCGCGAGCACGATCCAGCGACATCCACCCGGTGACGATCATTGGACCAGGGCTCCGCGGAGAAGGCGTGCGGCACGCGAGGCCTGCCGCCGCTCGGAAGCGGAAGGACTAGGCCGGGAAAATCCGACTGAAGTCTACGGCGATCGGGAGGGGGAGGGGGGGGGGGAGGGGCGGCACGCGGTACGGCACCCAGCTGCGCTCAAGTGCGGCGACACGTTCGACGAACCGGGCGGCGGGCGGCCGGGCCTCCACAGGTGGCCGACGCTCCTGTCAGATTCCGGCCATTCCCAACAGGCTGGAGAGTAGGCGTCCCCGCCGCGTCGCTCACGCCAAGGGCAAGGCCGGCATGAAGGGCGCCCGGCAGGTAGGCAACCCTCGGGCTGGACGCACGCGCGTGTCGGGCGGGCTGGCCTACCCTCGCGTTCGCAGGCGCTCGCCTCCAGCCTGGCTGCTGATTGGCTCCTCGCATTCAATCGGCCCGGCCGCGGAGGGAGGGTGCAGGACGCGGAATGAAACGCGTCTCGCCGCCGTTCGCCATTGAGCCGCAGACCCTGGACGGGCACGGTAGCTCCCTGCCTCTCGCCCTGCCTCTCGCCCTGACTGGCGCCCTGCCTCTCGCCCTGACTGGCGCCCTGCCTCTCGCCCTGCCTCTCGCCCTGCCTCTCGCCCTGCCTCTCGCCCTGCCTCTCGCCCTGACTGGCGCCCTGCCTCTCGCCCTGCCTCTCGCCCTGCCTCTCGCCCTGCCTCTCGCCCTGCCTCTCGCCCTGCCTCTCGCCCTGACTGGCGCCCTGACTGGCGCCCTGCCTCTCGCCCTGCCTCTCGCCCTGCCTCTCGCCCTGCCTCTCGCCCTGCCTCTCGCCCTGCCTCTCGCCCTGACTGGCGCCCTGCCTCTCGCCCTGACTGGCGCCCTGCCTCTCGCCCTGCCTCTCGCCCTGCCTCTCGCCCTGCCTCTCGCCCTGCCTCTCGCCCTGCCTCTCGCCCTGACTGGCGCCCTGCCTCTCGCCCTGACTGGCGCCCTGCCTCTCGCCCTGACTAGCGCCCTGACTGGCGGCGCCGGCTTAGCCGTGTCTGCAATCTCCGTGTCGCCTGTCTCGGCCGTCTCGGCGGGCCACGTGAACTCTGCGAGTATGACGGGAACCACCCGCCGCAGTGCGACTCCATCTCGCATGCGCGCGAGGGCCAATTTTGTGTCGCGGGCAGGGACGGGGCTGACAAGGGAAACAGACCCGCAGCCCCGCCCCGCCGGGGTGCAGTGCATCCCTCCCCCGGCCCAGAGGGGGAAGCGGGAGGCGCCGGAGACGCCAGGCATAAAGTCGTTTGTTCGGCTGCAAACGCCGTCAGCCCTTAGCCCGGCGGCGGCGCTGCAGTCCTGGAGGGAAGGGCCCAGAAGGGCCTCGTCGAGCAGCGCGGAGCAGCTCGCGGACTCGCGGCCCTAATGTTGTCGCTTCTTTGTCTTCGCGACCGTGCGCCGGGACGGGACGCCTCGAGGGGGTGACACACGCTGGCGGGCTTTCCAGCCATCCTCCCTGGCGGGGCGGGGCGGGGCGGGGCGGGGCGGGGCGGGGCGGGCGGGGCGGGGCGGGGCGGGGCGGGGCGGGGCGGGGCGGGGCGGGGCGTCCTTTGTGGAGCCGCCGTGGAATTGATTGCCACGGCTCTCCCGTGGCGCCGTGTCGCCTCCATCGGCTCCAGGAATGCGCCTGGCCCCGCCGCGGCCCCGTCGCAATAACAGCAACAGCGCCGCGCCGCCAAAGGGTTGCTCCGTCCCGTTCGTCCCGGTTCGTCCGACCGTTTGACGACCTCGTCATTTTTTGGGCGAGGGCGGCTGGGACAACGGGGGACGCGGAACGCCGCGGAACGGTTTACGAGTCGCGAATTTGCAGCCGTTCTCGTAAAGCGCGTTACGGCCGCTTGGCTTTGCCGCCCCGCCCCCGCGCTTTAACAAGTTTGGCTCTGGCCGACATTTGGTTTGCAGCCGTTCATGGTAATTTTTTTTAAATCTGTCATTGTGGCGCTAATGGCGTGGCACCAGCTGTAACTGAAACAGGCGGGGGAGGGGGGGGCACGGTCATGCGGGCAGTCCGGCAGACAGACGGGCCGGCAGACAAACAGACAGACAGACAGACAGACAGGCAGACAGACAGACAGGCAGGCAGGCAGGCAGGCAGGCGGGAGCCGGCGGGCAGCCATCACCCAACCACGCCGCACCGTGACGTCACGGTTACGTCACGGCGACGTTGAGCAATTGGCTGTGGGGACACGTTCCGAAGGGTCGACAAGCTCGTGTTACCTCGTACGCGGAGCTATATTACCTCTATATTACACCGTATATTACTATATAATACTGCATACTACCTCTGTATTACTACATACTTCTTTGATTTGCAAGTCACATCCCCTCCCTCACAGGTTCGATCCGTAAAAGGCCTCGCCTTTATCTAAAACTGTGGCTTGCCTTCCTTTAGGCGGGTTTGGTTAGGTTAGGTTCGCGTACATCCAGGTCCCACGTCGGGGGGTCATGGCCCGCGTGACCCGGGGGGGGGGGGGGGGGGCTACGGGGGGCTCCCTCTGGGTGCGCGCCTGCCCACGCGCCTCGGGGCCGCACGGGGCAGCACACGCCCCGCCCGAATGGCCCGAACCGCCACCGGGGCGTGCGTCTTATCTCTCGGCCTGGCCTCACCGAGGAGCAAAGAAAATTATTTCCCTCCACCGGCTCGTTTCGCAAGCCTTTCTTGGCCGTGTCTCCACCCCCCACCCCTCGTCGCCGTGCTTCTTCATAACGAGGCACCGGCGTCGTGCCGTGCCGTGCCGTGGCGTGCCGTGCCGAGCCAATCTGATCGGCCGCCCATTAGTCTGTCTGCCTCTGTTAGTTCTGACCTCCTTTTCGCTGCAGGTGGTCAAGATGATGATGGTGGTGGTGACCATCTTCGGCGTGTGCTGGCTGCCTTTCCACCTCTACTTCATCGTCACCTCCGAGATCCCCGAGATCACCAGCTCGGCCTACGTGCAGGAGGTCTACCTCGGCATCTACTGGCTGGCCATGAGCAACTCCATGTACAACCCCATCATCTACTGCTACATGAACTCCAGGTGAGGCAGTGCCGAGGGCGGGACAGGAACAGGCGAGGGCACTAATTAGTTCGTGAAAATTGAATGGTTGAGGGACGCCAGCACGCTGATTCCGAGTGGCGGATTCCGTCGATGTGTCCCTCTCGCACTCATGGAGTGCAAGGAGTACGAGAGGGAGGCACGTTACAGTGGGCTGACACGCCGACAGCGCACCAGCCTGGCCGTGTCGCGTGTCGGCCGCGCCACTGCACTGCCGCCCTGCTGTCGCCCCTGCAGCGCGACACTCAACAGCGAGCAAGCGATGGCCCGATGGCCGGACAACTGCCCGGATGGCACTCAGTGTTGCCACACGTGCCGGCCAGAACCCGCCAGAACCCCCACGACTGTGTCGAAAGGTCACCCTGTTGGGATATGCAGGCAAGGACACTAAGAACACGGACCGTCCCCCCTCCCCCCGGATAAAAGCACAACAACCGAGGGTGGAGCAAATATAGACAGAACCGCTGTGGAATATCGCGCGAGGTTGGCGGTGCTGCACTGCCGCTGTGGGACGGGGGAACTTGATTTACGTCTTCGCCAGCGCGTGGAGCGTGGAGTGGAGGCGAGGCAGTGCAGAGGTTTGCCAGGACGCCGGCCGGGCGGCTCCTGCGATCGCGATCTGTGCTCCAGCCTGCCCGATAAACTCGATGCATTATGCCCGACTCTCGATACCGGGAAAACTGCAGAGTAAGAATACACTGCTAAAATATCCCCCTCCCCGGAGCCACTATTTTTCTGTTTTCCTCCTTTCGGAATGCATGCGTTTGATCATGTTTTATTATTCTCCGAGACCGTGCCGCTCCGTGGATCTGGCAGCCTGGCAGCCCGCCAACCGCACCACCACTTTACCAACAACATGTAAACATAAACTTTTTATAATCAAGGGAGGGTGAGTGAGTGTGACTTGAAGGTGTGTGTTTTCGTGCGCTGGCGAGCACGCGTGTGCGTGGATAGAGAGAAAAAGAGACCGTGAACCTCTAAGCGAGTTTACCTTTGAATTTTCTTCCTCGGCTTGTATACGTGTTATTCCCTCTTACATATCTCCCCCCTCCTTTTCTTCTCCCTCGGGGGGTTTCAAGTCTTTGGTTGAAATATGTACTCGTTTCCACGCATTAAGCCCGGCAAGAAGCCTTGCCTTGAGCATGTATGCGTGTGTGCGTGAAGGAGAGAGAGCGTGTGTAGTATGGGTGTGTGTGTATAGAATGTGTGTGTGTGTTTTTTTTTGCGCACGCGGACTGAGGATGAGAGCGTCAATTTCCGCAAGTGTGATCAACACGTGGATCAACAAGCCTCCGAGACGCGGCGCGCAGAGCTTGAGATGCCGCGGGTGCCCAGCCCTCGGCCCGGCCCGGCCCGCCCGCCATTCGGCGGGTAGGCAACCCATCGAACGCGCACGGCGAGCGGGATGGCGGCACCGTGGGCGCTCAGACCTTCCCAGACCTTCTCAGACCTTCCCAGACCATCCCAGACCTTCCCAGACCTTCCCAGACCTTCCCCGACCTTCCCAGACCTTCCCAGACCTTCCCAGACCTTCCCAGACCTTCCCAGACCTTCCCAGACCTTCCCAGACCTTCTCAGACCTTCCCAGACCTTCCCAGACCTTCCCAGACCTTCCCAGACCTTCCCAGACCTTCCCAGACCTTCCCAGACCTTCCCAGACCTTCCCAGACCTTCTCAGACCTTCTCAGACCGCGCAGAGCCTCTGTCTGGGCGTGGCGCGTGGGGCGTGTGGGGCGCGGAGCTCCCTTTGAGTGCTTTCGCACTCCGCGCAGGGTCGAGCTCCTTGTCGGCGGAGATAATGATGGCCCTGACGACGAAGGACCGAAGGGTCCGCGCTACCGCCGATACCGTCGCTGCGTCGTTGCGACATTGCGTCGTTGCTCCACTTTGAGACGGCGGTTACATTGTGAGCCGAACCCGAAACGAACGCCCGCGAACGCCGTTCTAACAGTGTAAAGTACCGCCCACGGGTGCCGCCAATACACGTAAGGTGGCAGAGAGGGCGGGGGCGGCGCGCTCAGCCCCCCCCCCCCCCTTTTCCCTCTCATTGAACCTCCAAGGGCGCGGAAGTGCAGCCAAGTGTCTCTCCGGGCCGCGGGAGCTGCCACTCCTTAAAGGTGCACTCCCATGGTCCAGACCGTCGAGCGCGAGGCACTAGCGGGCCATGCCTGCTGCAAAACGCTGCGGTTTTGTGTACACGCCCCATGCTGTCAGCAGGGAAGCCAAACAATTTTAAAGGGGGGAATGCTGCCCTGCACTGTATACACGGGGGTGAACAAACACTCTGCAAAGGGCAAAGAATGCAGCCGCACAACCTATTCGCCCGCTTTCGGCGTCGGTCGGCGTCGGGCCGCCGCCCGTGCTTCTTGCGGGTGAGTTGCCGCGGCCGGCTTCATCTGCCCCCTCCCCTCCCCTCCCTCTTTCGGTTCAATCGAAGCGAGTACTGCGGCGGAGGTCGCTTCTTGCCGCGACGCCCTCGTTGGGCTGATTCCGAATCGCTCCGTCTCTCTCGCACCCGTAGGGCGTGCCGCACGCGTGCGAGAGAGACGGAGCGACGCGCTGCTCAGCCTGCCTGCTCGGCCGTGCGTCTGTCCGCGTAAAATTTTAACCGCCGTCTGCGGGTAGGGGGGGGAGGGGGTGCGTGTTAGAGGTGACGGCGACGGCTAACGTACCCTGTCCCACTCGATCCGCCAAGACGGACCGCGGCCCGCCAAAGTGCCCAAGGCTGCCCTGACCTCTGGCTCCGCGCTTCTCCGCCACTGTGTTCGCGCCAAATTAAGTCCTCTTGGTTTTGTTTTGTCTTTCGGGCCGTCCTTGCAGAGCCGGCACACTTGCTGGAACGGGGAGGGATTGCTGACCTGCTTTCCCCCTGCAGACTCGAAGTGCGCGGTGCAGCGGGTGCAGCGTGCAGCCCACCGCTTCCGAAACAGTGATTTATCGCTCCGTCCCTCTCGCGCACCTCGCAACGCCCCGCGAGTGCGAGAGGGACGGAGCGCCGTCTCGGAATCGGCCTGCAGAGCACTTGAGCCAGATTTACAATCGTCTGCGAATAACTCGCTGTGGGAAGTTGCTCTCTGCAGTGGCTGCAGTGGGCTGCAGGCGCACCGCGGCGACCCTGTCCCTGCGGCTGGCTGGCTGGTGGCTGGTGGGCTGGCTGGTGGCTGGCTGGCTGGTGGCTGGCTGGCTGGTGGCTGGCTGGCTGGTGGCTGGCTGGCTGGTGGCTGGCTGGCTGGTGGCTGGCTGGCTGGTGGCTGGCTGGTGGCTGGCTGGTGGCTGGCTGGTGGCTGGCTGGCTAGTGGCTGGCTGGCTGGTGGCTGGCTGGTGGCTGGCTGGTGGCTGGCTGGCTGGCTGGTGGCTGGCTGGTGGCTGGCTGGTGGCTGGCTGGTGGCTGGCTGGTGGCTGGCTGGCTGGTGGCTGGCTGGCTGGTGGCTGGCTGGCTGGTGGCTGGTGGGCTGGCTGGTGGCTGGCTGGCTGGCTGGTGGCTGGCTGGTGGCTGGCTGGTGGCTGGCTGGCTGGTGGCTGGCTGGTGGCTGGCTGGCTGGCCCGTACGGGGGACGGACCGAGCAGGCGCTGCCACTCGGACTTCCGACCGGACCGACCATTTTAATTTATGCTCAGAAAGAAACGAACGCAATCATGTGGCGCTGTGGGTCTGGAAGCGGCGATTGAGGGTAGTAGGCCGCCGCCAGCCGCCAGCCCACTGTGCGCCGCGTTTCGCTAGAATAAATATTTGTGGCGACGTCCGCCACAACAAAGCGCCATTCTTTGAAGAGTCGCCGCGGTGCCCGCCACGCGGGCATTTCTGTCGGGGTTGCTGTTTTGTTGTTGTTGTTGTTGTTTGTCCTTGTTGTGGGGGCCGCTGTAGGCCGCTGGACCCAGAAACAGAGGCCGCGGTGTAACGGCAGTGGTGTTGGCATGCCTGCAGGTTCCGGCGTGGCTTCCAGGCCTTCTTCTTCTGGTGCCCGTGCGTGCGCAAGCCGGCGGCCACGCTCACGCGCAGGGAGGCCGTCACCTCGCGCTACTCCGTGACCGGCTCGCCCGACCACCACACCCGCGTCGCGCGCAACGGTAAGCCCCGTAAGCCGTCGCCAGGCGGCCCAGGCGGCCCAGGCGGCGCGTAGGTCCGGAGCGAGGGGGAAAGCACTCGCGTAATAGTCGGCTCACTCTGTCCTTAAAAGCACGCGAAACAGCCTGCGTAATAGTAGCAAAATGGCGGAAATTCTCCGAATTTCATCTGTTGAAGGGTTGTTTTCGTCTGTTTGTAGCCCGATGCATATATTTTGAGGCTGAACAGACGTATCGGGCGCAATAGTCAGGTCATAGTGCATTCCCCCTTGGCTCGGAGTAGACGTAGACCCGGACGTAGAGGTAGATGTAGAAGTACGTTGCCGTAGAACCAGACGTAGACGAGCACGCTGGGCGTGGCCTTGGCGTGGCCTTGGCGTGGCACGCCGACAGCCACCGCCGCGTTTGCTACCCTCCTTTTGTTTTGTTTTCGGTTTGGCCGCTTTGCATGGCCTTCATTTTGGTTTATTTCCTGCCTCTCCCCCGCGGTCCCGCAGCGCCCTGCCGGCCCTGCCGGCCCTGCCCCTCAGCCGGCTGGCATGTATCTCGGGGCGCGCCCGACCTGGTGCAGAGCGTCGTCATGGCGACGGCCGAGCCCGCCGCCATCATGGCCGGCATCGGCCAGGACTGCTGCACCCCGCTGCGGCACCGCGAGGCGTGCGTCACGCTCAACAGCCTCGACGAGGACGACGACGAGGACGAGGACGACGACGGCAGGAAGTCCGTGCAGGTGGAGCTGCTGTGGGACGAGGACGACGCGGCCCTGGCCCTGGCCGAGGCCCTCGCCGAGGAAGGGGTGTGACTGTGTGAGCAAGGCCGGCACGCGTAAGTACCGTCCGTTGCCGTCTTTTTGTTTTCCTGCCACGCATGGCATGTGTGTGTGTGTGTGTGTGTGGAGTGAGTGCCGTCCGGCTCGGCGAGCTTGCGCTTGATCCAGCCATAGCCCTGGCAGCATTAGAGCGCCTCAAGTTTCCTCGGGATCAAGAACAAGAACACCACCTGGTGGTAGGCGGGCAGATCGAGAACTCCAGAACACGCATGCCTTGTTACCCTCGCCGCGCTCGCCGCCGCGCCCCGGCAGGCAGTGTTATCCTCCCGCACAGCCCTGCACCGTCGAGGGGCGCGCGTGTTGTTTCCTGGAGTGACTCAGCGCCACTCGGCGCACGGCGCCCCCACCAGCCGAGTCGCGTCTCGCAGCGACACGCAGCGACAGCGCGACACGACCGCCCTAATCACCGGCGCCCTTTTTGTGCAGGCTCGGCACTGACGCAGCTCACCCTGGCCACCACGGACCCGCACCACTTCACCGGCACCGGCCAGGTGCACCCCGGGCCGGTGCGCTGGCGGCAGCCGTCTTCCTGACACGAGGACCTACGCGCCAACCGACAGGCGCGGGTGCAGACGTGGCTGTAGGGCTGTGAGCCCCTCGGGCCAGTGCCCTGTGCGAGCAGCCCGCTGTAACACCACTCTGTAGCAGCCAGCTAGCAGCCAGCTAGCAGCCAGCTGTAGCAACCAGCAGCCAGCTGTGGCACACTGAAAAACCAAACGCGGTCTACACCACACCACTGGTGTGGTCAAATGGGTGCCATTTTGACCGCATCAGTTGGTGTCTAGACCAAGTTTGGTTTTTCAGTGAGCCAGCGTGGCCGCAGGGCCACTGGCCTGGCGGCCCTCACCCCGAGGGCCTCACCCCGTCTCCCAGTGGGGGGCTGTCCGGGGCCTCGATTGACTGGGCGCATGGGGCGCATGGCCTTGCCCCGTCAGACTGTGTCAGACGCAGCTCGGCGTCGTGGAGTGTCATTGGGGAGTGTAATCTCAGAAGAAATGCATGACTGACCGGCCAGAGACTGGACGTCCCGACGAGGCGCGTGCGGGTTTCCTTGGGGTTACTTCGGACTGTGGAGCAACCGTTCTCGGCACAGAGGACGACAGAGGACATCGTGTTTCACGGGAACGCCTATCTCAGTACCTGGAGCGCAGTTACTTGTACAATGTCTAGACATACTTTTTTGTGATTTTCTCTGTGTTAATTGTGTATGTAATGAAGAATAGAAGTTAATTGTGTGTGTAATGTGGAATAGAAGTTAATTGTGTATGTAATGAGGAATAGAAGTTTTGGATCGTGATGAAAACAGTTTGTTGTATACGTGCCAATGTGTCTCTCTGCACAACTTAAGCTCTCCTTTCTTCCGTACCAAGCAACCAATCAGGTTGAATTAAAGTATTTCGGTGTGAAGTAGTAATTGTAAATAAAATGTGAGCAGCTTATTTTCTAGTGGCCTGGGTTTTTATTTGAAAAAGTTACCCTCCTCCTTGTTGGTGATTGCTTCCGAGAGATGGGAAATAACTCCCATGAGTATGAAATTGGGACAAGGTATTTAACTGACCTGAAATATCTAAGGACGAGCAGTTTAAATATATTTATTTAAAGTCCATTAATTTTACAGAATAGAGGTCACAAAGTACATAAATGCTTTCAGAGTCGAGGAAAGATCGCAAATTTATCACTTTGCAATATTAAACGGAGACAGGTCAAAATAAATCAAGACATTGACATTGCAAGCAAAACATACAGGCGAACAAATACGCACATATTCACGTGCTCTCTCTCTCTCTCTCTCTCTCTCTCTCTCTCTCTCTCTCTCTCTCTCCCCCCCCCCACACACACACACACACACAAACGAGCGCGCAAATTGGATTACTGCAAAATGTGCTCATATTACTTTTGTTATTGCCATCGCTGATATATTCTCTACAGTGCATCATCCACGACTCGCATAGTTTTAATCGATTTGGAGTGGTTTCTAGAACGTTTGCACATGCCATGACTATGACAGAGCGGTGTAGAGTAAAGGATCATTAAGAGTCCAGGCAAAAGTTTCGGCGCATCTATTAGAATAAATTAAGCCAAAATGAGCTGGTAAGTAAAAATTTTGTCTCCATACAATATCTATTCAGGAAAATAAAGCGTTGTATGAAGTTATAAGAGTGAGGTTTCAAATTAAAAAAAAAATACAAATTGATTTATAGCATGTCTGTGCAAATAGTAGTTCAAATTAGGGAAAACGCACTTAGGATAAGACATCAGATGACGTACAGCCTACGCGAAAAGCAATCATTTCATAATACAAATAATCAAAGTAAGCTATTTGTACACAGTTGCTGCTAGTGAAGGTTCAAATATCACACAATTTTCTCGATTCCTTGGACTACATACTAACTCAAACGTACACGTATTGTGACTTTCACAGAATATTTACATAGAATCTTTCATTAAATCAGTTACAAAACTAAAATAGGGTATCTCATAACAATTTTGTTCTATTTCAGTTATAGAATTTAAAATACAGATCCTCCGTAAAGCAAGTACGCCCTTAACACTTGAAATCGAAATACTACCCCCGATGTTATTCCCTTAACATAGAGTTTTTCACGAAAATGTTAGGTGATTGTCTTCTTCGAACAAGAGCGTAAGCCATGATTTCGCAATCCTGCACTGCACGCTACTCCGCGACTCTAAGTGCTCAAAGTTTGCACAAAATTCATAATCTGAGAACGACCTAATTTTTCATGACTGTATTTCATTCTCCTAAAACTGGATCGCAAAGAAGAACGATATCATCGGCACTGGTTCCTTCCTTCACTCTACTGTAAATAGCGCGACAAAATGTGTTCACCTTAAGTCGGCATGACACAAGGAGTCGTACGTGAGCACACCGCGGCTCTTGAGTCTCACTCGGTCTCACCTCTTTTTGGCAACACTGTTGTAATGCATCTACGGCGAGTCTCTCGCGGTAAAAGTAAAATTGACCGGCAAGCTTAGGACGCAGTTCCCTGTTTTGTCCCGTAGGAATTCTTCTTTCGATTCAGTTTGCGTCGAATGAATAACTCTGTATACGATATGACGTAATTCCAGAAAAAATGCCAATCCTAACGGACAGGAGCTGCGAATTTGTTTAAAATAATCAGTCAGGCGAGTGAAACGGACAAAATAAACAACCGACCAGCTTGTTGGTCGTTGTTGCATATTGGCTGAATAAGCATATAAGACAACACCACTTAAAAATAAACAATGCTTCTTTTTGAATATTTTTTTTCGAAAATATTAAGATATTGAAAGCAATTTATGATTTTACACAGGAAGCGTAATTTGTAAAAGCGTAAGCACTTTTTTGCCGAATGTAGCAAAGTAAATAAACAATATCACTGCCCGCCTCCTAGATAGCAAAGCCAATTTTTAACCAATTACATTCTTAAATGCTTAGATATCACACAAATTTTATGTCAACTCTTTGGGCCACGAATGATTTTTTTTTTCAGATAGCAATAATACAAAGATAGATATGTACATATTAGCTGAGTCACGTCTTCTATAATTGAAAATAACAGAATAGTAAATTAAATTCCTTTTTAAAATGATCTCTTAAGAATCATGCTTTATCGCTCAGAAGAATAATACTGTCGTTAACACAAGTCAATTCCCGCTCCACACGAATATTTTGAACTTTCCACATGGGAAGTTATAGGAATATCATAAAAAGAGAAAAGGTTGAATATAGATTACAAAATTAATATTCTATCATTAACATATGCCATGATATAGCTGATAATAGAGGCCTCAAAATAGACCATTAATAATTTTTAATTTGCAAAGTACAAGGAAGGTGCCATGGCGTATGATTAAACCCATACACTGCACCACCAAATACACGTGCTTTGCATAAATAACTAACATTTGTCTTAATGGCACTCTCATCGACGAAAGCGTAATATTAATACTCTCAGCAGCAGTGGAATGTTACCGACTCATCCCAATGTACAACAGACTATATAAGGTATCCGTGAACTAAACTATAACCCATTAAAACCCACACTGAGAAAACCTTACAAACTATTTTGGGCCTTACAAAGAAAAGTAGTTTGTATAACAAAGTATTTTGAGCATACGTAAGCTTACAAAGAAAATACTTCGTAATTTACGAACTATTTCTTCGTATAACAAAGTATTTTAGTTTGTTATATGTATGCTCAAAATACTTTGTAAGGTTTTAAGAGTGCATTAAAAAGTACACACCGTACTAATACGGCAGATAGATGCATATATTCCCTTCTGACCTTGCGACTGGTCAATCAAAATACGTATTTCCACCCGATTATTGATTTTAATTTCACATCAAAGACCACTTAGATGTGAAATAAAAATCACTAATACATCGGATCTATGATTTGGTATCGATCGCCATACACTCAGAACTAACGATGTCAAAACAAAACGCGAGAACGAACTAACTCAGCATGACCATAATTTTGGCTGGGTTGTTTCTATTCATCCGAGATGTATCCTTAAAATATTGTCATGAAGCCTAACAGTCGAAAAGGAACAAGGCGACATATTGCAGCTCGACTCAGGTTCCAAGGTAATTCTAATAACAATCACACAGGAATATTCATAAACCTATTTGACGTGGTACGCGTTTCCGGAACGTGACTTCCGAATATGGAACAATCCTACTACATAGTAAGAGAGTATAAGTGCAGTCGAAGGGCACTCTCCCTCTCTACTGACTAGTCTAGTTAAATAATTCAACAGATATTCCTCTTTTCTCGAAACTTAATGAGAAAATGGGTAAAATCGAGTGAATCAACACACTGTTATAAGTTCCCTTACATGTTAATATTTTATCGAACTGCACGAGTATGACCAAATGAAATACACGGCCCCTTGCATGGCCCACAACCTGCGGAAACTTGAAGAATCACAACTAAAATTCATAGAGATCAAGAATAGAGTCATCTGGCCGATACCCTGCGTTGTTGCAAGAAAGATAATCGAGGAAGCCCAATTCTAAAGGGAGTTCAGCTTAAGATCACCCACAGACGAATCACATCTCTAATACAGAATTCTGTAAGTAAATGAGACGCTGAAAAAAAAACATGACTAGAATATATCACGCGCATAGCGCGCGTCCCGAGGAATGTCTAACTCGTGCTCGCAAAACAAGAAACAACTAATTAAATTAAAAATGGATCACATTTTTTCCAGCTGTAACTTGGCCATAAAAGACCTTAACTGGAGGTTCCAGCATAAATCGCTCAACATCGTGCCAAGAAACTAACGGGCCACCTAAAAGCAAAGAACGACACCCGCCTAAAACATGACTGAAATCATTATCCCAATGTTTCAGTGATTTATTGATATTCATGATGTCATTCTCGAGGCCTTTCGCCAACATCGCTTAGACTGGGGTGCCGAAGTCGGGGTCACCCAAATTATCCAAGATGACTGCGTCACTGGGGACGAACCTCCCTTGGAAATACATGGAGTCGGGGGAACTGACGGCGCCGTCCGATGGCGGTGCCTTCCTGGAGGAGCGCTTGGACCGCCGCCGGGTCTGCTTGGGCTTGGTGCTGTACACGCTGCCGGCCAGGCTGCCGGCCAGGCTGCCGTACGCACTCGTGCTGCCAGACAGGCTGCCGCCGGACGCTGTGACCGCCACGCCCGAGTCCGACATCTTCTCGCTCTGCGACTCGTCGGAGATAGGCTTGCGGAAGCGGTAGATCTCCTGGGTGCCGTCCTCACCGCTCGCCGCGAAGGACTCGTCATCCAGCGTGGTGAACCGCTGCCGCCGCCCCGAGTGGGTGCCTTGCTGGGGGTGGAGGTACGTGTGGTCGTGGAGGGCGTGCTTGTGGTGGTCGCGCGACGCCCGAAGGGCATAGCCCGGATGGGTGCGCAGGCGCCGCTCTGGCGACACCGGCGTGGAGGTGGCGGGCGACGCCGAGGGCGACACGGACGCCGACACGGAGGGCGACGGGCTGCTGAGGGGCGACGCCGAGGTGAGCGTCCTGAGTATGCGCTGAATGGCCGACACGCTGTCCGAGTCCTCGGCGCGCTCCACGGGGGCCGCGCTGGGCTCCGCGCTGGGTTCGGGGCTGGGCTCGGGACTGGGCTCGGTGCCGGGCTCGGGGCTCTCAGCCGGCGCGGCGCCCACGGGGGGTAGCTCGCTGGACGGCGACGCCGGGCCGTCCGCGGACACGGCCTCTGCGAGGCTCGCCAGGCCGGACTCGGCCTCGGGGCTCGGCGTGGGGCTGGGCGACCGCAGCGGCACCTCCACTGCGATGGTAGACAGCTTGCCGTGGGACTGCGGGGCGTGGTCGGAGCTGGCGGGACTGACAGGGAAGCACACCTCGGAGGCATTCCTGCAACAGCGAGCTCAGTTAAGACATGCTCTCTTGCAGGATGCTGGAAACTCCTCACTTTCACACTGTACCTGCTGTCCGGAGTCCGCGGGGCTGTGGGGGTGGGGATGACTGCGTCGCTGTCAGCATTGTCGAGGTACCCGTTGTACAAGTTGATGTTTTCGCCCGGAGCGAGCACGTCCTCGTCGAAGAAGCGGTACCTGCGCAACATGCACCCTTTCACGAACTGGGGCCAACCGCCAACCTGGTACGCAACGACAGCAGCACTGCTTTGCTTTGCGGTCGCGGACCGTCGCGGACCGTACCTGAAGTTCTCCAGGTCGCCGCTGACGGAGTTGTCATCCTCGCTGTCTTCCGCCGAGGCCAGGAACTGCACCTCCAAGACCACGTCGCCAGGGTGTGCGCTCAGCAGCGCCACGGCCTCCTTGTGGCCGGCCTGCCGCAAGTCCACCCGGTTGACGGCCAGGATGGCGTCGCCCACGTACAGCTGGCTGGTCCGAGCGGCCGGGCCATCCGCCTCGAGCTCCGAGATGAGGATGGGGACGCCGTGCTCGCGGCCCCCCTGCAACAAGAGGGTCCGTTGTAGGGCCTCTCGTGACCTAGACTGTGACCGAGTCTGTGACAGGCCTTGGCCGAGCCAGTGCCCCGCTCCAGGGGCTCCAGCCTCGCGACTCACCGTGACAGACATCCCCAGGCCCTCGCCCGGCTGCCGCGAGACCGTCACCGTGCGGATGACGGGCTGGTCGCGCAACGCCGCCGCCCCGACCGCTTCCTGGCCTTCCTGGCCCGTCGGCTCCACAGTGGCCGTCGCCTCGCCGTCGCCGTTGACGATCACCGCGCTGAGAGTGGTCATGTTGTTACTCATGTTGTTGTTGATAGTGTTAAGGGTGTTATTGATATTGTTGTTGTGGCTGGTGACGCGCTGCTGCTGCTGGTAGGATGAGTTGATCCGGCAGGCACGAACCACCTGCGCACAAATGAAACCGTTGAGTACAGTCGGTACAGGCGCAGCAAATCGCAAAGTGGCTGGTGGCTGCGGCGTGTCCGTCCGGTCCTCCCTCACCGTCTTGTGCCGCTGCAGCAGGATCTCGGCCTCGAGTTGCCGCCACAGCTTGTTGCGGATGTCGGTCTTCATGTCGCGGCCGAAGAGCTGCAGCTGCTGGATGCGGCCGGCCAGCTCCTTGTCGAGGTACTTGGCGGCGAGGCGCGCGCCCGTCACCTCGCTCTGCAGGGCCACCAGCGAGTTGCGCAGCGCCGTGTTCTCGCGGTGCAGCTGCTCGCGCTCGGCCTGCAGCGCCGCCGCCACGTCGCCCGCCACTGCAGGAGAACAATTAGGATGTCTAGTCGGATGTTTGCTGTGTCGGCGGCGCGGCGTGGCTGTGAGCCCGGCACGGCCTGGCGGCGTGGCCCATTACGTACCTTTGATGTGGTGACGGGGGGACCGCTCCAGCTCCCGGTCCAGCTCCCCCTGCAGCCGGCTCAGGATGCGCTGCTGCTGCTGCTGCTGCGCGGGCTGCTGTAGCTGCGGCTGCTGCAGCTGCGCGGCGTGGAGCTGCAGCAGCAGCACGTGGAGCTCGTCCTCCAGCGCCTGGCGCGTCGCCCGCGCCTCCACGAGCTCCGCGCGGGCGTTCACCAGCTCCGCCTGCAACAGCAAAGGTTCGAGCCCCGTCAGCCACCTTACTCACTTTGCATTTTTCGCAAGCCAACTTACAGACGACAACATTTCAACGAGCTTGCATTCCAAAATTAGCGATGCCGCGTTATCTCTGGTTATCTGTAGCCGGCGTCACCATCAAAGCCCTCTCGCCGCCCCGCCCCGCCTTGAGAGCTGATAACGCAGCCTCACAGATACGGCGACCTGACCCTGCACCGCGCTGCACCGACACACTCTGTGGCACGCACTGCGGCGAGCCGAGCCAGCTGGACCTGGACGCGGTCCTAAACCATGACCACGCCCACCGCGTCGAGGGACCGCCGCACCACGCAGCGCCACGCCGCGCCACGCCGCGGGGCCTGGACCATTTCACTGCGTCTCTTTTTGATGGGCGAGTGGTGCGGCCGACGCTGCCGACGCGGCGCGCCGAAGGCGGAGGGGCAGAAGTGGCCTCTGTGCCGCCGGGCTGCGCGCGGGGCTGCGGGGCTGCGCCGGCCCGGGCCCGGGTGCTCCCTGCTCCCCTCTCCTCCCCGGCCGTCCGGTGCCGTCCCGTGTCCGTGTCCCGTCGCCTCAGTCTGTTCCCTTCCGCCGCTCCGCCGCCAGCGCGTCAGCGCGTCCGCGATGATACAGCCGGGCCTGCAGCCGGGCCTGCAGCCGGGCCCCGTGCGCTCCCCCGGGTCAGCCGGGCTGCGACGCACGCAGCGCGCGCGCGAGAGTGGTATGCCGAGACCCAGCGAGGAGACGGGCGAGCCGGACGAGCCGGGCAACAGGTGGGTGCACTTGGTGTTGGGCGAGTGCCTCGCAGTGCCTCGCAGTGCCTCGCAGTGCCTCGTCGTGGAGGGGCGACAATCTCACCACGGCGGAGGGAGCGGGCGGCGGGGTGGGCAACGCACCGGTGTGTTAGCCGCGCAGATAACGTGCCTGCCCCTGCCTGCCGCTGCCCCGTTTCCTCATCGCCGACGTCGCGGACACCGACGACATGGAGAGAGCAACGCCGACCCCGCCGACACCTGCCGCTGCCGCGTCGCCGAGGGTCACTAACCCAATAGTAGGCTTCTGCGTGCAGCTTCAATTAGCGGAGGCGACTCGGTGGCGGCTCCAGCCCCGCCCAGCCTCTGCAGCAGCGAAGCAGCGCCAAGTGACAAGACGGCTCAATCCTATTGAGGTCCTCGCGGCTTGGCCGCGGCCGCCAAGCGAAGCAAGCGAATGCGTTGCTGTTGATTGGTTCGTTTAGCGCCCAGCGCCGCCGGCCGCCACGGACACAAACCGAGCAGAAACCGACGCGCGCCTACCCGTGCGGGAACGTGTGGGAACGAGGAAAAAAGGACCGACGTGTGGAGCGAACGCCAGCGGTCCAGGGCTCGCTGTCAGTGTGGCCGCGTTTATGGGCGCAGGGTTCTAAACGCTCCGAAACCACTGTCACGACCCTCGCCCACGCCCATACCCGTGCCGTCCATCGGGTCGAGCACCTCGACCGACAGAACAGGGAACATGCATGCGCGAGGGGAGGGGTAATGTGCGGGGGGCTGCCAGTAAATGGAGAGGAGGGAGGGGGGTCAAGTGGCAAGCCGTGTTTGATTTGATGCGCTAAGTGCCGCGCCCACCTCACCGAGCACGCCGAGCACGGATGTAGCGGAAGGGTGCCTCCCCTCTTGCATTTCCGCCAACGCAAAGTAGTGAGTCATCGGGAAGGGGAGCGGCAGCCGCGGGGCATCGCACAAGGCCGCCGATCAGCGGGGCCGAGCCGAACGGCCGAACACAAACAAGGCCAGACTGTAACGCCATCCCTCGGTACAGGTTCGGGTCGAGGCCGCCACCCCTTTGGCCCCGGGATGGCGGCGGGGCATCCTGCGGGGCGTCCTGCGGGGCGTCCTGCGGGGCGCCCGGTCCGGAGTCCCGGGAGGACGCCTGCTGCGAAGCCACCACCAGCGTTACCATCAGGGAGACGCGCACGGCCGGGGCGGCCGGCCACCCCTCTACGCCGTGCTCCAGGCCGAGAGCGCCGCCTTCGTCGCACTGGGGGTGGCACCTGGCGTGGCCCGCCGTGCTGCTCCTCGTCGGCAGGGTGCTTCCCACAGGCGCCGTCCCCGCCGTCCCCGCCTCCGGACTCGGGGCGTCGTCGGCCACCGTGCCGCCGCTGCCTCCCTTCTCACAGCCGCCGCTGCCGCCGCTGCCGCCGCACTCGGCCGCCTACCGCCAGAGCAGCTCACAGGTGAGTCGACCGCCGAGGCCCCTGGCGCCCCTGGCGCCCCTAGCACGACGTAGGCGCGCGGCGCGGTCCGCGGCCAACCAGGAAACGTGAAAACAGGCGTCTACGGATGGCGTCGCAGGCCCGCGTGGTCCGCGCGCCCCGGCCATAAACTGGTGCAGACACAGGCCGCCATGCCACGCCTGCTACGCCCTGCTGCGCCATGTGGCCCCTCCTTCCTCCTTGCAGGCCTGCATGTGCTGATCCACTACACAACACTGTATACGCCGCCACAACGCGTTTTATTTTTGTTCCCAAGGTGGAGGGGGTAACGGCACGGCCCGGCCCGGCGCGGCGCGGCATGGGTGGGGGTGGTGGGGTCATCCCCATCTGCCCTGCATAAATGACACAAGCTTTTGTGACAAGCCGCGGCGCGGACGCGACAGGACGGGCCCGGGGAGGGGGCGGTGGACGGGGACCACACACAGACACGACACACAGACACACGCCCATCAAGTGGGACTAAGAGCCAAAAGTGTGATGTGTTTTGAGAGCCTGGTGACCCTGGTGACCGACAAGCTGGAGAAGATGGATGACCGCCTGGACAGACTGGACGTGCGGCTGGACAAGCTGGACACGAGGCTGGACAAGCTGGACGAGAAGCTGCGCGTGGTGGACACCATGTGGGACACGCGCTACCGCCTGGACACGCTGGACCGGCGCCTGGGCGACCTGGACAGCAAGGTGGAGCGCAGGATGGGCGAGCTGGACTCGACGCTGGAGCGTCGCTTCGACAAACTGACCGAGGTAAGCGAGAAAGCGACGCGAGGCAGTGTCCCTCCATCTCCCTGGAGCCACCTGACCCACTCCCATGTCCAAAGTCGGTGGCGTCCCACGACCACAAGGACAGCAGCGCCAAGGACCAGCTGGTGCGCAAGGTGGACAACGTGTACGAGCGCATCATCTACATGGAGAACAACAGCATCAACAAGATCCAGGTAGGTGCATGGACCGTGTGCTGGCGGCTGTACGAAGGGTGTCTAACGAGGCAGTGCAGGTGACGGCGTCCTCCATCCTGGACAAGGCGCAGTCCGCGTCCGCGGAGCTGCACCGCGTCGCGGAGCAGGCCGAGCAGGCCGTCGGCCAGGCCGTGGGCCAGGCCCGCGCCGAGCTGCGGGCAGGCTTGGCCGCGTTGCACGCCCAGGTCAACGCCACGCACGACCACGTCCTGGTTGGTACTGTCTTACTGTGTCCAGCACCAACCAGGCAGAGAGCTAGTGAGAGCGACACCTCAGTCTGCGCCCACAGAATGCCACCACGGCCGTGGCCATGCAGGCTCCCCAGGAGGACGACGAGTCGGAGCGGCGCGTCTGCGTGGATGCCGGCGAAACGACCACCAAGACGATCAAGCAGCACATCGACGTCAAGACGGACCTCATGTCGAGCAAGGTACAGCCGACCGCCCCTGCCCATCTATGATGCACAACCACCGTCACCCCCTTGCACTCCCAGTCTTTGTGCCTCCAGGTTAGCAATCTGTACAACGACATGTGGCGACGCGTCAACACGCTCGAGTCCACCGTCAAGAGCATCGTGTCGCTGAGCAACGCGACGAGGCGCGACGTGCAGGCGCTCAACGTGGCCGTGGCGGGCGTGCAGCACGGCAGCAGAGGCTACCCTCGCCAACCGGCGCTCGAACCAGGTGAGTCGCGCGCCGGCCCGCCCTCGCTCGCATGCCTGCTGGGGATGGCGTGGCCGTGACCGGCCTGACCGTTCGCTCGGCGTGCCGCCGCGTGCCGCAGGCAACCTCGAGTACGCCCTCAACCTGCACCACACGGCGCTGGAGCGGCAGCTCCGGGAGCTGCGGGACACGCTGCTGGACGAGCTGCGCAACGTGCAGCAGGTGCAGGACACGTTCCTCAGCACGTGCAACCGGCTCAACGACAAGGACCACAGCATGGACGAGAAGCTGGGCCGCGTGCTGGTGCACCACACGGAGTACCTGCTGCAGCACCGCAACGTGCTGGCCGAGGTCAAGCGGCAGCTCAAGACGCACAGCACGGTGGCCGGCCGCGCCGCCAGCAACGCCACGGAGGGCATTAAGGTGAGTGACAGTGTGCTGTGCGCGACCAACTGACCCGCCTCCCTAACTCGCCCGCTCCATTTTGCCGGTTGTGCCCAGCGTCTGGAGGCTGCGGTTCGCGGGCTGACGGAGCACGGTCGGCTGGAGGTGAGGCGGATCGAGCAGGCGCTGGAGCGGGTGGACAACGCCTCCGTGGCGATGCAGGTGAGCAGTGAACTGGGGGCGGGCGCCTGGCGGGTAGGCAGCAGCGGCGCACGCGAGCGCGCCAGGCCCGCGGTGGCCTACCCGCCAGGCGCCTCACCAAACGCAGTACGCAGTGATGACCGGCTCTGTTCTCGTCTTGTCCGACCAGAATGCGAGTGACAGAATGTTGGCGTGTGGCGGCTCCCTCGGCGCTGGGCTGGGCGTCGGGCTGGGCGTCGGGCTGGGGGCTGGCGCGGGGCTGGCCGAGGAGGAGGCCGCTTGGTCCGAACTTCTGCAGCACAACGAGTCGCTGGTCACGGTCACGGCACCCAACTCTCAGCCCGCCATTTCAACGGCCACTAGTACAGCCAGCTCGCCCAGCACCACGGCCGCCAGCGTGGACGGCGTGGACCTCGCCCTGGTGGACAGCAACGGCCTCCAACGGCCGCCGCCAAAGGAGCCCCCGGGCGGCCAGGGCCAGGGCCAGGGCCTCGGTCAGGTGTCGCAAGAGGGGGCGGCCGGCAACGGACTGCACCGGGAACAGCGGAGGGGGGCCGTCGAGCAGCAAGTCCACTCGACGGACAGCAGTCAGGACAGCGTGACGGACCTGAGCTCGGTGGACGAGGACGACTACGCCGAGACGGACGACGACGAGGCGGACTTGCTTGATTAGACTCGATTGGACGCAGTTGGGCTAGCCTGGGCTAGCCTGGGCTAGCCGACAGCACCTCGAACGCGTGTTGAAGATGTTGCCCTGTGCAGTATGCTTGAGTGGGAGACCATCTCACTCGGACAGTCGGTGTACCAAAACCAATCTCTACTTTAAGTAACATTGAAAATGTGCCTTCATTACTGAAAGAAATGTGTTTATTTTGGTGAACATATCTCATTAATTATTGATTAAGGCAATTATTTCTGATTTCACATGTAAGTAGGATATTTAAAATATATGTTAAGAATACAAACATCTACTTCACTGAAATATGGGTGAAAATCATATTCCAATAAATTTATGAAATAAAAAGTAAGCTTTGATACAGAACAGACTTGAAAAGGTGTTTCTGACTTCCCAAACAATAAGGCACTGTAGCACCAAAGCATATCACTAGATGAAAGAATAATTAAATATAAACTACTAACACGGCAGTATGGCTAGCACCATCTAACACAAATTCTTCAGATGAGAAATTAAGAAAATTGTCCACAAAGTACATTTGGAATAAGAAAATGAAAAAGAATAAAGGAGTATCTTCAACTCACCTCGATCTTTGCACTATTCTGGAAGACAGTTTGAGCCTTGTGAGTAAGTTGTGCAAAACATGAACTGAGAGTGGCCATTTTCTGTCTTGCCGGATACACTAACTCTAATTCTTCACTTTCCATATCACCTGAAAAGGAGAAAATTGTGAATCATCCAACGTATTATTTTGAGATAAATTTGTAAAATAAAGCATTTAAATCAAAACCATCAGATTGAATGAAGGCCAGCATAGGGGAAGTATGGGTGCAGATGCTAAATTAAATGATCTGTGTAATGAATTTATGACACAGCTCGTACCTACAACAAACTAATTTCTAGAGAGACTTAGGTTCTTGAATCTTTCAAAACAATATTTGATTATTTTTATACACGGATGAGACGAAAAGGTACGGGAATTCCAAGGGAAGTGACTTCGAGGTTAATGTCACGTCACAAACGTGGGGCCTTTATTTCGATGTTAAGACAAGACGTTTTGACAGGCTCAGATCCTCCACAAGGGTTAATTAGTGACCCCACAGCGTGACATGAAAAAAATGCGCTTTTCTTTCAAAGTCTAATAGGAATTTTGTGGTTTGTTTATATATTTTGACAGAAGCAGAAAGGTGGCAGACGAAATTTTCTGAGGTGTTTGGGCCGGGTTCAACGTCAGATAACTGCCTTGGCTGCTGTACACAAGAGGTGCTGTTCAATGAACGAAAAGAAAGGGGTTCAGTTTAACTCACCTATGAGCAATTCTAGATCAACATAAGCTTTGTCAAATTCTTTTTCTAACAAATCTAACCACCGAAAACTAACTCCGATGGCTGCCATTTTGACGTGAGCAACCTGCCTGACAGATCTGTTCCTAACACACGCTCACTTTGGAGTAAGGTTGGCAATGATTAGGCCACATTATTGATCAAATATATCATAAAAAGCTTTGTTTTGAGCGTTTTGTTTTTGATAGATAGTAAAATAGATAACAGATTGTGAAAATAAATTAATTTGTCTCAGGAAAAGGACTTTTATCATCAGCTGGTCAGATTTTTGACAGCTTGGTCACTTCTAACAGTTGGCAACAGAGGTCCTTTGCTTTTGTCTCTCTTTCTCTTCTGCTATTTTATCAACAAGCAACAAGCATGGCTGACTCTGTGTCCGTTGGTAGTGATGTTCCTGAAAATATATCGATTGAAACACTAAATGCAGAGCTTGAAGAGGTAAAGGTGTCTTTAAAACTCATTTCTTTTCATAAAATACTCAGCACTCTTCTTAATATTTTTGCGGGCCGTAAATGTTCAAAAGCCGCTACCTCTGACAGTTGTCATTGCCCTCTCTTACTTTTTAATTTCCCAAAAGTAAACAAAGCATGACCCATATTTTATATATTTTTACCGTCAAATATACAATGTCCTTACAGCCCAGTCATCTCATTGTCAAAGCCTAAACTGTCGCCCTTAATTATGTACTTGTATGCGCGAGGTTATGTCCTTCCGCCCACTTCCTGCTTGTCATTTTGCGTATTTTCGTTGTTCAGCTCGACGACACTGAATATGATATTCCGCCTGTTGAGCAAACGCCAACGCTGGAGAGTATTCTGAATGATGTTGATGATAGAGGGTCTATTAGCGAAGATGAGGTATCAGGAAACCACTTCATTCATCCAGGAGAGGTATAAAAAGTCAAGAAGTCATTAAAAAATGTCATTGTTCTAAAGATTGATTGATTGTTGCTTTTTTTTCATTAATTTTTCTTATGTCTCTTGCGTAGGCATTTGAAACTTGGTCCATGGGTAGTATAGGAGGACGAAGTAGAAGCTCATCTGAGCGTCGAAGCACAACAAGATCTACCACCTCTAGAACTACAAGCAATGCAACTGTTCTCAAAGCTGGATCAATACTTCGTCATGTGATTTTGAAGGCTATTTCGTCTCAAGTAGCCTCAGCAAGTGTAAGTAACAGTACCCTTCATCTTAAGAGTAAATAGTTATTTTTTTTTATCTCATTTCTTATTTGTCTTGTTTTTTTCTTATTTTCTCAGGAACGTGTTGATGCAGGCTTACCCACTTGTATAGCAGTTCAAATTATGGTTGCAGTAGGAACCTCTCATGGCCTAGTTCTAGTGTTTGACTCCTCTCAAACGCTAAGATCATGTCTGGACAGTCAGGACAAGGATCAAGGCTCTGTAAGATTTCTTTGAAAACTAAGAACTCTAATCCAAAAACAACACTTACCATATTGTTTCTCTACTATTAAGTGTTATCATTTATTAACTTTCACAACATTTCTTTCAGGTTTCTGCCCTTTGCTTTAATTATGATGCCACCCGACTACTTGTTGGCTATGCCAGAGGTCACGTCCTTATGTATGATGTGAAGAGTGGGAAACTTTTACGTACTATGACTGATGTTCATGCACCAGGAACAGCTGTGCTTCATGTTAAGGTGATATATTTGTCTTGTCCTTATTGCAATTATCTTATCCAAACATTTAAAACAAAGCTTTTGTTTTTTTATTTTCTCGTCTTCATTTAGTTCACCGACAATCCTAATTTGGCTCTCTGCAGTGATAGTGGAGGATCAGTATTTGAACTTACATTTAAACGTACCATGGGTGTTAGAGGGTGCTCCTCAAAATGTTTATTCTCTGGCAGCCGAGGAGAAGTTTGCAGCATTGAACCATTATTGCTTGAATCAGTACCATCACACCCACTCCATGGAACAGTTCTGGTAGCAATGGCCACTCTCTCAAAGGTAAGAAGGATTTCCAGAAAAAATTATAGTGGTAGTTTGCTCTCTTACTCAAAAATGTTGCGTCTTGCAGATTATTGTTGTCAGTATCCGACCAAGAATGAAAGTGCTTTTCACCTTTCCACTTAAAGCTCACCCAGCCACATTGCCCTTGATATCATGGCAGTTTGTAATAATTCAGGTGGGAGAGCAATCAAAAGTCGTTGACCCTGTTCTTGCATTTGCCCGAGAATCTACAGTTCACTTTTATCAGGTTAGAATATATTAATTTTAATTGAGGACTGTTTTTCTTTTACTACTCAGAAGTTGTATTTTAAAAATTCTTTTCTTCTCCTTAGGTCACATTAGATATGTCGAGTAAAATTAGATTGATCCCTCTTCAGAAGATGTGTGTCCCTTATCTATTGTTGTCTTTGCACTGGTTGAACCCAAGGACCCTAGCCACTGTGGATACACTAGAACAGGTTCACCTCATAGATGTTCGATCTCAAGTTGAACTCGAAGTTGTTGATGTTTCCAGTGCTGGTTTAGTTTATGGTTCGAGTCACTTCAAAGGCCTTTCTACTGGTGGAAACGTCAGTAAAGCACTGGTAAGCGATCTTCACATTTGCACCTAGTGTTTTACAATGTTAATCTACTATGAAAGAGTAGTTTGTCTTGATCACGTGCTATTTGTCTCCCTAGGCTCTTGCAGGTGAGAGGGCATGTTATAATTCTTTGCTGAGCTTTGGAAATCAAATGATAGTGTTGGGGACCAAGGGTCTTCATGTCTTAGGGATTCGGACATGGAAGGAGCGGTTAGACCACCTAATGCGCCAGGTAAATGCTATAGATTTTTGTATTGGTTGCTACATATTTATATATTTCATGTGTATAATTTTCTTTTCAACCTTCTTTCCAGAAACACTATTTAGATGCTTTGGCTTTGGCATTGGCTTTTTACCAAGATCGGGCTAAAGCTGTGGTGGGTTTGAGAGGACCTAAGGGAAAGCGCAAAATGCTCACTCGGGATAAGGTATGAACTTAACCTGTTGTTCACTTTTTAACACATCTATCTTTGACAGAAAAAAATCATGATTTTAACTCTTTTTTTTTATTATTTCCCAGGCTTTAGATATCCTCCATAAATATATTGATGAAGGAATTTGTCAGGCAGCTGCTGCTACAGAACAGCTCTATCGAGAGTCTGTACCTGTATGTATGCAATATAGTATTGAATTAAATGAACTGTAAGTTTTTTGTCCTTTTCTGATGATTTCAACTTGTCCTTTGTATGTTTTTGATGTGAATGAGTGTAAAAATTATTCCTTTTAATTTGTTTTAGTGATATATTATATAACAAGTTGTGGGAAGTTGTATCCATTTACCCAGTGTCCAAAGCTGTTTACCTGGAGGCTCTAGAACCACATCTGCTCAATGAGCAGCTTGCTGATATACCCCCAGTCATAGTGCAAGAATTTGTTCAACATTATTGCAACAACAAAAAGTTCCTGGTAAGAAGCTTAAGGAATTTTTAAAAACGCGTTTATTAGATGATTTTTTTTTAACCCCTTTATGTTTGCTTTCTATTTTGTTTCTTAAAGGCTCTTGAAGCATGTGTTGTGCGTATTCCAGTGACATCTCTTGACTTCCATCAAGTTATGTCTATATGTTGGGAACATGGATTATATGATGCTATAATTCATCTATATACAAGAGGAATGCTGGATTTTGTTAGTCCTCTGCAAGAACTTTTACAAGTATTACAAAATGCCATCGCCAGTGGTGAGTAACCGAAAACCTGTTTTTTTAAGCATTAATTGATGATGACAATGAAAAAATCCTGTTCATTTTTATGTTTGTCTTATCTATTTCAGGCAAGCAGTTGTCAAATCAACAAATAACTTTAGGAAACAAACTACTGGTTTACACAAGCTGCTGCTTGGCAGGCAGGGGCTATCCTTATGGTGATGTCCCTCAAGAATTGGTGCAGGATGTAAAACATAGAGTATTTCAATGTGTAACGTGTCAGCATAGTCTGAATGCCAAAGATTCTGAACGAGCTTATCCCTACTTAAGGTGAAACATTTGTTACAATTTATCTCTTTTTCTGGAATTGCCATGAATTTTTATCAAATTATTATTGTTGTTTTCAGAGTGTTCCTGCAGTTTGACACAAGAGAGTTTTTGAATGTATTGGCACTGGCTTTTGAGGAGCCAGAGTTTACCTCTGAGCTTGGTTTAAGACGAAGACAGTTGGTTGTTGACATTCTATTGCATTTGGTCGTGCAGGAGGAAGGCTTCACTGTATGTGCTGAACAAATATTTTTCTCTGTGTCATGTTTTTCTCTCTCTCTCTCGTTATCTACCAATGTATTTTTTCTTTTACAGGCTTCCCAGATTGGAGCGCTTCTTACCTTCCTGGCGCGCCAGTTGGCTCAGAATGGACCTTCAGATCGTCTGCATGTGGATATATCTCTTTTTGAGCGGGTAGTTGACCACCTCACTGAGCCAGGAGCTGTTGGGTCACAGAAAGAAGAGCGACAGCAAGCTCTGCTTGAACTCATGCAAGCTGGAGGCTTGTCTCAATTCAACCCAGAAGAGCTTTTGCAGAAAGCCAAGGGAGCTGAATTGTATGCAACTGGTTTTTGTTTCGGGTTTTTTCTTTGCTTTTTCTATCTCAGTTGCAATATTTTTTCTTTTTGTATTATTTTGAATTTGTTTTCAGTTACCGTGTAATGGAACTGTTGCTGCTTCAGCGTGGTGACATTCATTTGGTAGTAGACTGTTACCTGCAGGACCAGCCAAGACGTGCTCAAGTGTTCCCATTTTTATTTGCCGAACTTTCTATAACTGCAGACACTGCAGATGGAAACCAACATCTGTTGTTGGATTCTGTTGAGAATAATATTCAGGTAATTTTTTTCTATTGATGTGTGTGTACAGAGAGACAGCTGTAACAAATTTAATTTATTAATCCAATTCTTTCCTATATGTTTCAGAAATTAGTTGCTGTGGATGCTATCCAAACAGGTCACTTGATTCATCAGTATCTACATTCTAAGCTTAACAACATTTTGGATAAATTTGAAGGTGACACTTCAATTCAGTACACTATACTTCGAGGCTTGTTTTCATACTAGTGAGTTAAAACAATTACAATGCTTTTAAAACAGAAAATCTTTTCTTAAATGTATGACTGTAAGTCATCAACATTTTATTTTTAGATGTGTTGTACATTACCATAATTTTACCTTTCAGTAATGAGACACTCAGTCGTGAAGAGCCTGCCCCTGAACCAGCCCTAGCTGAAAAATACATTGAACTGCTATGTCAAGAGAGTCCAGAAAATCTGAGCGATTTCCTCCAGTGCAATCAGTGGTACAGACTTGATGAAGCGCTAAAAGTAAGCCTTTGAAATTATACAACTTCAATTGAAGTTCTCTCATTGTCCTAGTTCAAAGTTAATTTTTTTTCCCTTTGTTTCCATTTATTCAGACGACAAAGAGGTTCAAGCAGGATGAGGCATCTGCTCTTCTACTAGAAAGATCTGGCGATTTCATGGGAGCCTTTTCCCTGCTTCATGCTCGTTTGGAACCATGCCTTTCCAAGGTTCACTTACATATTTTAGATTAGATTAGTAGTTCTAATTAATAGGGCTCCTTGTAACTTGTGTTTCCCTTTGTCCTTAAAGTTAAATTCTGAAGACAAATCTCTTCATAAAATCAACGCTCTTACTGCAGAGTTGGTCAGACTCTGCAAAAAAGGCTCTGCTACCATGGATGTAGCAACTCGGCAGGAAAGCCTATGGTTTCCTCTCCTGAGCACTTTACTTAAGGCTCATATCAACCATCGAACGGGTGTGTTTCATTTTTAAGTATGTGCTCTGGTAATGATGACAAATTGAAATTATTTCAACTCATCCACTATGATTTTTTTTTTCTTTAGAGATAAAACCACTTCTTCAGCAAATTCTGAACAGCATGAGTGGGTATGTGAATATGCCAGCTGTTATTCAAATCATTCTTCAGGATCCAGCATACAGTGGTGGCACTTTTGGAGAAATTAGGGACCTTATGATGGGTGAGTGAGTGGAAAGTAAATGTATTTGACTGATTATTCACGTTTTTGTGACTTGTATTTTTCTAAACAATAATTGTATGTCTATGTCTGTTCTAGGAATGCTTGGTAACTGTGGGTATGAAGAGTTATTACTGCAATCAACATCACGTGTATTAAGCGCTGACTTGCATTTGCAGTTAGCCAGAGAACTAGCCATCAGTAATAAAGGTTTTGGCCCTAGAATATTCCCAGCGGTTAGAAATACTCCTGCCTGCTGTTATTGTCGAGAGCCTCTAGCTACAATTGGATCTACTGGAAATGAAGAGGCTATTCTTTTTAGGTAAATTATTTACATGAGTTAACAAAAAGATGTTTTTTCAAATCTGAACAAAATTGTTTAAGTATCATTTACATTATTTTTCAGGTGTGGTCATTCATATCATATGAGGTGTACTGAACATCCACCACAATGTTTGAAATGTGATACTTGAACTTGTGAAGTGCCATTCTATAGAAATTGTTGCATGCATGTAACTAACTATGTACCATGCGAATATCTTGCACTTAGTAATCACAGAGGCAAATTTAATAGGAATAGTTTTTTTTTCTTTTCTGTACTACGCATCATAGTCTTTACCAATTCAGTGTTGTTGTTTTTTTTTGTTTGTTTTTTGTGTTGTTTGTTTGTTTTTTTGTCGCTGTAAAGAAAAATTTGTGAAGACAAACATTTGCTCAATTCATGTTGTTGAACATTCCATTTGTATACAGGATTTTATAACCTATTGATGCTTGTATATTTTATATATAGATATATATTTAGTCAGAAAGTCTTTTTATATCTCAGGTTTTACAATAATTGTTAAGACTGATATATATTGTTGCTAGTCCATTTAACTACTGTAGTGTTTATTCATCATTGTGGAGCTTTAATAAATTATTTATTGTCTTTGTTAGAATATTGCTGCTTTTTAATTACCCAAGACAAGTATGTGTTCAATTTAATGAGAATTTCCCACAGCAAAGAGCTATAACACACGATTCAAATCCTATAGGATACACGTATTTTGATTTTGCACTATTGTGAGAAACAAGTAAAAGCACCCCCCCCCCCTCCCCCATGTGGGCCTGGTGGGAGTCATTGTTCTATAATTTGGGATGAAAAAGGCTTACTTACAAAGATGTTCGGTGGATTTAACACTTGACGCACCCTGGCGAAGCCGACTTCGGTTTTACATGTGTCTGAGGCTGTTCTTGGATGAAGGAAAACATTGGTCTGGCCGAGTCTGTTCTGCACTTGGGAATTCCCAGCAACCATGATGACACCGCGCGCACCGCTGACATTGAGCCCTCCAGTGTCAAAGCAGCAAAATCGATCCGGTTCGGGACAGTCTCAGTGTGGGAGCCATTCAATTCCGCAAAGTGCTGCTCCGGATTACGAGAACTCGCGAGCCACAGAATCCTGCAGGTGCGCGCCCTGGTAGTATCCCGCTATCATCTTGTTGCGCCTCGGGTGCGGCGGGCACGGCAAGGTGATGGGAGAAGCGGAGCACGACGTAGACCAGATAGACGGAGGCACTTGACATCATCAAAGGGGAGGGAAGCTCATTTAGACCTGGCTGTCGCGACAGCGCGGGAGCACGGCCCAGACTCCAGCAGCGGGCGTGCCTCCAGCAACGACCGGCCCGCGCGGGGCAGGGGGGGGGGGGGCGTGACGAGTGCACGCCAGACGCCACGGCGCGAGAATAAAGAGAATTTGCGTTGCCCAAGTGCTCCCCGCGGAGGGGACGGGGGGATCCTCACGGGGCCCCTACTCTGTAAGGCCCCACCGCCCAGGACAGGAGCCCTCGAGGAGGCCCGGGTCAGCCCAGGTTCACGTCAGTCTGTTGACAGCTCGCCCGCGTCGCAGGTCGCCCAACCCAGACCCAGCACGCCCTCGCGGTGTGCACGCCAGCCTGCGCCAGCCCGAGGACCGGCAGCATGACTGCAGTGAGTATGTCCCAAGGAACACAATATCAATTGTGCTAAGATGACGGCTGTCTAAAGTCATCACGGTCGAAGTTTGAGTGACATAACGCGCCTAGCCAAATGGATTGTCATTATTAGCAGGTGACTAAATTTTGTCATCATTACGTGACGTCATTGATCGGTTTTAACACCGGGCCGCACTAGAAGAAGAAGAAGGAGGAGTACATTAGACTGATCGCTTCGACAGCGCTGCAGCAGTAGTACAACGAAAGGCCGGTTCCGGCTTGTTTGTCGCAGCGCGGGGCGGCAGCACGGGCTTCAGGAACTTCCCTCTCAGAAGAAACAGTCGGATCCCGAGCGGACCCGTCGTCGGTCCGTCTCTCTCTCTCTCTCTCTCTCTCTCTCTCTCTCTCTCTCTCTCTCTCTCTCTCTCTCTCTCTCTCTCTCTCTCTCTCGCACTAATACGGGACGCCCACATGGCCATGGCCCATGAGTGTGTGTGTGTGAGAGAGAGAGTGAGAGAGAAAGTGTGTGTGTGAGAGAGAGAGACAGAGAGAGAAAGAGAGACAGAGACCTACCACTCGAGTTTGCGAGTTTGCGTGATCCTGTAGGCGGCATCCGTACGAGTGCGAGAGAGACAGACAGAGAGAGAGAGAGGTTTTTTTTAGTTTTATAAAAGTTATATTGGGGGGTTTTGAAATGTACAATGCGGGCCAAAGAGGAGAGCGAGAGAGAGAGAGAGAGAGAGAGAGAGAGAGAGAGAGAGAGAGAGAGGGGGGGGGGAGATCACGACAGAGATCGAGCTTCATATTTCTATCGCAGTACTTAAGGGGATGACGCAGAAGCGAATGAGAGGCCTGTGCCGAATCAGTCGGCTGGTCTCCGAGACAAACCCGACCCAAGGTGGAGGAGGATTCTCGTGTCCTAGAGCCAGAGCGAGCCAGAGCGTACTGGGGCAGGCAGCGGACCTCGAAATCTTTCTAAATAGTGACCCCTTTTTTGTGACCTTTGCAGGCCACTGAGCGGCGTCTTTCTCTAATGGATGGATTGTTTTTGGGCGGGCGGCGGCAGGCAGCCGGTGAGGCAAATGACCGAATGCAGCGGGCCAAGTTTGATGTGGGGCCGACGCGGGGCCGAGCGGCCGGCGGGGAAGGGACTGGAAGGGACCCGTGCGCTTTATGTAACTGATGAAGAGGGCAGACACGACGCCTCGCTGTCTCTCTTGCACCGGACAGAGAGAGAGACACACACTCCCCCCCCCCTCTCTCTGCGGATGAGTGCGACAGAGACAGAGCGATGAAAGGACTCGTCAGAATCGCTCAGCAAGATTCGTCGAGTCTATGAATGACCTTGACCTAGGAGGGACGCGGCGGACGCGGCGGTGTTGACTATTCGCCACCGCAACGTGACCACAAGGCGACCACACCACGTTGTGACCGCAATGTGTTTGCTGCAGTGGGCGATGGGGCTCGGCCAGGCTCGGTCCAGCCCACTTCCATTGCTTTCATGCACGAGGCCCCACTCGACCCACGCACGCCGCGGACGTCGCGCTCCACCACTCGCTCCACCAAGCTTTGTCTCTTTGTGAACCTGATGGGGACCCAACGGAGCAGTGGATCCGTCAGGGCCTTCAAGGAACGAACTAGCCCGACCACGGGTACCTGTTACAACGCGAAATATCGGTTTTGCCTGGACAAGTTAGGTGACCCTATAAAAACAATTTCACTTTTCTTTTCTTACGCGCAAGTTGAGCTGCCAGTGGCTGCGGCTGCTGAAGCGCTGAAAACACCGCCGCGACGAAGAACTCCACGAACATGGGCACAGCGCGCGACACTCGCGAGACGTGACGCTCTCTCTCTCTCTCCCTCTCTCTGTCTCGCTAACGACGTGCACCTTGCGCCGCTCTGCTCTAGAATCCAGATTCGAGCACTATTACCGCGGGTCCTTGCGGCGCCGGGTACGCGGCCGGGGCGTGGCCCGGGGCGTGCAACCGCAGTTTAAACTCTTTATCACCGAGAGTGCAACGCTGCAGCTCCGCCGCGCCGGCGTGCCTCGGAGGCAGCGTGGCGGCGGCGCAGGAGCGCAGGTCGTGAATTGCGCCGGTTTAAATGCGGGGCTAAATAATGACTAGGACGCTCGCGAAGGGCGGTACGGTCTGTCGCGCCTCAAAGTGTCTCTATTAGCAAGCGGCGATGCGAGCGCTGCAATCCGAGATCCGGGTGCACCGGCGTGGAAGCCCCCCTTGGGCGGCCCTGACGCCTGGCAAGCCCGCGCCAGGGTCCACGACGGTGACGGCGACGAAGAAACTTCCCCGTCTTGTTGCAGGACACACAGCGCGGCGGTACGCTGGTGGCGGCCCTTGTGACGCTGACCCTCCTGGCCCGCGGCGGCGGCGCGGCGGCCGAGCGCAGGCAGCAGGACTGCTTCTGCACCGGGCTGTGGACGTGCATCGCCAGGTAATGGACATCGCGGCCCCGCCATGGCCCCGCCGTGCGGCGCCCCGTGCCCGGTGCCACCGTTTTGCCGTTTTGGCGCGTCTTGAGACACGTCGCCTGGCGCGCTGGCGGGCAGGCCGGGGCAGGCCGGAGCAGGCACACGGGCAGGCCCTTCATTAGGTGTCGCAAGGCGCGAGGCGAGGCTACGCGAGGCGCCTTCCTTGTCCGTCCTGCGGCCTGTCTGCAGCGTGTCTGCGGCATGTCTGCGGTCGAGGCGAGACTTGGCGGCGCCGTGCCCAGCCTGGCCCAGCCCAGCCGGGTCGCGGTCGTGCCGGCGGTAATTGGCGAAAAACGAGGTTTGTCAAACATTGAGCCGCGACACCCTCGACTCCCACGAGCGCCCTCTTTTTCCAGAACGGGACTTCCCTACAGCGAATGCGACCAGACGGGCATGCGGGTCATCTGCTGCGTGCCGCGGCCCGCGCTGGGCACCATTCCCGGCCCCATGGTCGCGCCGACGCCCGACCCGTCGCCCGCGCCGTCACCCGCCAACAACGAGGTGCCGGTGGCCGAGGCGGAGGCCCTGAGGACGGACGCCGACACCCACTTCCGCTACTCGACGGGGCGGCCGACCGGGCGAACGGCGTCCATCTCCACGACGGCGCTGCCCGTGACGATCTACCGGCACGCCGTCAGCACGACACCCCGTTCGGCGCCCACGGCCACGCCGCCCTCGTACACGGCCTTCGACGAGGAGGACGACGCGGATGAAGAGGACGACGACGATGAGATGATCTCAAGGACAAGCAGCAGCCCTCTGAGTACGACACCCAGGACCGTGACCACAACGACGAGGCCACCCAGGCCCCCGCAGAGGCCGTCTTCGAGCCCGAGGCCCGCCCCGAGGCCCGCCCCGAGGCCCGCCGCGAGGCCCTTCGCTGTGTTCGTGACGCCCGTGCCGGCGCAGCACGCGCAGCACGCGCAGCGCGTCGAGGCCGCGCAGGTCAGCATCCAGAGCGACGGCCCCGCCAGCCACACGTCCTGGAGAAGTCAAACCACGGCCTCTGCTTCGCTCTGCTTGCAGGAGATCGAGTGGGGCGACGGCGCCCCGCACAGCAACTGGAGCGAGGAGGAGGCGGTGGAGATCAGCCGCGTGGGCGGCGTGGCCCTGCAGCAGCGCCAGCCCAAGAAGATCGATTGGAACAACCTGAGCAGGAAGCAGGGTCAGCAGGCCGGCCGGCAGAGCAACGCCCTGCCGCCGCCCGCGCCCAAGGACGTGACCGTGGCCCCCGTGGCCGTGCCCTGGTCGTCGTGGACGGAGTGCGGCAGGAAGGGCGCGGACTCGGGCCGCGACGGCCAAGCGGAGCCCGCGGAGTGGCCGTGGCACGTAAGGGCGCGCTTGGTGGTTCTTCCTCGCAGCTCAAGGCTCACGCACTGACGCGCCTTTTTTGCCCAGGCCGCGCTGCTCGAGACAGCTTCGGACCGGTACGTGTGCGGAGCCACGCTGGTGGGACCGACGTGGCTGCTCACCGCGGCGCACTGCATCGTGGACTAGTAAGTCTTTGCGTACGCACGCTGTAAAAAGGTTTACTACGCAGCAGTTTGAATTTGCTGCGTAAGGTACTGCACAGTGCAGCGCCCGGGACACCCAGAGTAACCTCAGCTCGCTTCTTCTTCTTCTTCTTCTTCTTGGCAGCCCCGACCCCAGCGCCCTCAAGGTCCGCGTGGGCGAGCTGGACGTGCGCTCCGACTCCGAGTCCTTCACCCAGGAGCGCGCCGTGGTGCAGGTGGTGGCGCACCCCGCCTTCGACTTGGCCTCTCTGCGGCACGACATCGCCATGGTCCGGATCGCCCGGCCGCCCCGCGACCACCGCAACGTGGCCGCCGTGTGCCTGCCGCCGCCCGCCGCCGACACCCCGGACCACCCGGACCAGGACGACGCCGAGGACTTCCCCCGAGAGGGCACCGTGTGCGTGGTCACGGGCTGGGGCCGCAAGGACGAGGGTGAGTAGCTGGAGGGCTCGCACTTGCCGCGTCCGCGCCCCGCCCGCGGCGGTCATTCCGCGCAGTGCGCCGCAGTGCGCCGTCGGCCCATTTCTCTCCTCTGCGGGAGAGGGGGAGGAGAGGGGTCCTCTCGCGGAAATGAGTCTGCTTAACGCCGATCTCTCGCAGTGTCGCCGCACTCCGAGGTCCTGAAGGAGGTGCCGGTCCCCATCTGGTCCCGCGGCCCCTGCCAGGAGGCCCTGCGCGCCCACCTGGGCCCGTCCTTCCAGCTGCCCCGGACCGCCCTCTGCGCCGGCGCCAAGGGCCGCGACGCCTGCGACGTGAGTACTGCAGTCGCCGCCGACCACGCCGGGGTGTATGTCGTTTGGGCATTGGGAAAGCCACTCCTAAAATATAAAGCATTGCTGGGAGTCGAACCCTAGCCCCTGCGCGTGATCATGATTTCCTCGGGATACCACAGTGAAGCCAGTAGTGGGACTTACGACATACTTTTCTGAAACAGCGGCGGCTGAGCGCGCAGAGGCGTTGATCCGCTACTTTAGGGACTGGGGTTCGACTCCCAGCAATCCTTTATATTTTAGGAGTGGCTTTCCCGGTGCTGTTTGGACCCGCTGCGCCACTCCGCGTACCCGGCGAGCCACGGTGGCCGAAGGTGTTGAGATCTCTAAATCCTATACTCGGATCGAGCGATCGAATACTAGCTTCCCGCTCTTTTTGTCTGACTATACGGTTCAGATCAGCGGCTTCAAATGCTCCCATTCGCACATCCTTACCCATGGGCCGTGGTGGCCGAGAGCGCAGAGGCGTCGGGTCCCGACTGCGGGGTCCGGGGTTCGATACCCAGCACCTCAAAGAATATTTTGACCAAGCTTGCATCGCAAGAAGGCGGTTCAAGTATACAAAATCGGGCGGCGTGCAGTGTGCCTCTCATAGCCCAGTGGTTCCGCTGCTGGGCAGGGTGACGCAGACTCCTGAGTACCAGTAGCATGGCCCCTGAGTGGGAAGGGGGCCGGGAACGAAACCCGACTACTGGGAAAGGTGGCAGCCTGGCCTACTATGAGAGGACTCCTCCACATCACAGATGACGTGACCAATGACGGGGCCACTGCGGTTTAACTCTGAGGTTGCTCCTGTGATGAGATGGGGGAACCACTGGCTCACCAAGCCAGCGGGGAAGAGGGCCGGTTCGCCGGGGTGCCCTCTTTCGCTGAAATTTTCTTTATAGTGTTCATTTTACTTCTGTTACTCTGAATACATTTCGTGTTAAAATGTCTTTGGATTGTCCTGCATCCAGTCTTGATTGACATAGAGAGTGAGCCGCGGGTGTTTAGATCAATTGAGCGCCGCCGAGTTGCTCTCTAGCTGCAGCCTGACCGCGTGGCGGTGTAAGTGGGTCGGACAAAACGGAGGTCGGACAAAATTTTCAGCCGATTCACGGGCAAGTGAAATTTGGACAGGTCGGACAAAAGAAGGTCGGACAAACGATGAGAACCGACCACGCCGTTTCTCGGCGCGACACTGACGACGCCGTTTCCGTTGCACCACGTCTCACTGTCGCTGCTGTCGCCGACGACGTGCTGACGCCGACCGCGATGTTGCAGGGCGACGGCGGCGGCCCCATGGTGTGCCGCTCTGTGGGCAGCTCGGGCGGCTCGGGCAGGTGGTACCAGATGGGCATCGTGAGCTACGGCATCGGCTGCGGACGCAACAATAGCCCGGGCGTGTACACCAAGCTGTCCAGCTACACGGCGTGGGTGCGCGGCGTGGTGGCCGGTGTCCGGGACGCTGCGGCGCCAGCAGCGTCTGCCCCACGGCCCCCGGCGGCAGCGTCGCCGCTCGTCCCGGTCAACCGGGTGCCGGGCCCTCGCCCTGCCCCCAGGCCGACGGCCAGGCCGACGCAGCCAACGCAGCAAAGTCCCGCGTCGCGCAACGCCGCCGGGCCCAGCCGGCCCAGCCCTCGCAATCTAGTGCAACATGTGCCAGGCCCGGCAGTGAGCAGGGTCCGCGTGAACCACTACACCGGGCCTGGGCCGTCCTCCACCACGCCTCCCAAGCCCACCTCCGCGGCCTCCAAGGCGCCCACCAGGAGCGTGGTTGTGCTTGGCAGCGATCGCGACGAGACCGTTGAGGACGAGGAGGAGGATCAGGAGGACTCGGTGGAGGCCGTGACACACGGGGACGACGGCCCCGCGTCCCCGGCGGTCTCGACCACGACGACGCCCTCGACCGCGACGCAGCGCTCGGGCCGCGCCATGCAGCACAACGCGACGCTCGGCGGGCAGGGCGGGCAGGGCCGGCAGGGCCACAGCGCGGGCGTGAGCTTCTTCCGCAGCACCTTCGGCTCGAGCGGCTGGAACTACCCGCTGGAGGGCCACAAGGCGTCGGCCACGGTCTCCTCGGCCCAGAGCGTGACGCCGGCGCCGGTGGGGCAGTCGCAGCAGGTGCGGCAGGCACAGCCCTCCAAATGGTACTCGCCGTCGTACTCGGGCAGCTACCGCGGCGTCGCGGGCGGCCCCCGACTGCCCGGCCAGATCCTGAGTAACGTGGCCGGCCGCACGGCGGGCGGACTCAACCGCTGGTACTCGCCATTCTACTCGGGCAGCTACCGCGGGGACTACAACGCCTTTCCGAGGGACGAGCGCGAGGACCGCCAGGACACCTCCACCACAGCCACCGCGGCCACAACGTCGTCGACCACAGCCGTCCCCAGGGCCGCATACAAGGTGCGACCCCCGCTGGCCGCGCCTCGCTGGTTCGCCCCGCTGCACGAGGAGGCCTTCCAGGGCCGCAGCTGGTACACGTCCTTCCACAACGGCACCATCCGCACGGGGTACTCGAGCGGCCTGGGCCTTGGCCTGGGCCTTGGCAGTGCAGGCAGCACCAAGCACCGCTTCGGCCCCGGCGCGGCCAGCAGCAGCAGCAGCCAGCACCACGACGAGGACGAGGCGGCGGACGAAGGGAAGGACAAGGACCACACGTGGACCTTCCTCGTCAAGACGGGAGCCAAGGGCACCAGCATCACGTTGGACAGCAGCAACAGCACCCACAGTGAGTGTCGCCTCCCTTCATCGCCTTCATGCCCTTTCTCTGTCTAACCCGCTTTCTGTTCCAGTCCCAGACTCCAACGCATCCAGCAGCTCCACCAGCGTGACGGGGCTGCAAGGCGAGGGTACGTCCTACACGCCTTACGTGGCGGAGCAGGGCGGGCGCCAGGGCCGCACGCTGGTCAACTTCACCAACACCTTCACGTACCCCAGCGCGCAGCACCGCAACACGACTCACGCTCGCGCCGCCCCACGCGCGGCGCCCAGCGGGCTGAGCAGCAGCTACAGCATCTACCGCATCTACCCCAGCGTGTACAACACGGAGTACCGCGCCGCCAGCCCGCCACGGGGGCGCGACCCCAAGGCGCTGGAGAGCCCCGTTGCGACCAAGACCCCCGCGCAGGTGGCCGCCACTGTCCCTGAGACGAGCCGAAACAGCATCGTCGGGTACAGTCACTTCAGCACGGGCAGCACGGCGGTCAACTTCAACATCACCCACGAGCCGTTGGCCTCCTCTGCGCCCTCCCCGGCGCCAGCCCCCGCACCGGCCTTGGCCCAGGATCGCTCTACACCGCCGCCGCCCGCCTTGCCCGCTGTAGCGGCAGAGCCCACCGTGGAGGCGGCGCCCGAGGACGTACCCGTGGTGACCACGATAGCCGCACTCGACCTGACGACCCTGCGAGCCGCCACGGCCGAGGACAGCACGACGGGCGGGGAGGGCATGGACGTGCCCCCAGTGTCTTTCATTTCAACCACCGAGTCCGACACGAGCGCCCCGACGGCCACGCCGCCGGTCACGAGCACGCCCACGGAGAGCGTGACGGCGACCAGCACCGAGTACACCACCAGGGACGTCATGACCACCACCACCGAGGCGGACGCAGCGGCCCTGCGTGGCCGAGGCCGTGCCAGGGCGAGGCTGTCGTCTGAGGACAGTGACAGCAGCGCAGAGGCCGAGGACCGCAAGGCCGCGCCTCTGCTCAATACTGTGAGTGCGGTCAGCACGTTGGCCAGGCGCGGCGGCCAGCACACCGATCAGGACTCGCTGTTCGCACCTCGGCGTCGACCGGAGGCCGAGCGCGTCGCCGAGGGCCTGGAGACCACCTGGGGCGACAAGACGTCTCGGCGCGGGCGCGGGCAGGGCTCGCGCGGAGGCAGGAGACTGGAGACACCTCAGACGTCCGCACACGGGGCGGACACTGACAGCACGGCCAGCATTGCGCCGAGCCCGCGCGCGCGGAGCAGAAGCAGGTCTCGGCCGCAGTACCAGGGGCAGCCCGAGGAGGCCGTCAGCTTCATTGCGAGGAAGCCGGTGGCGGCGAGCCCGCGCGCCAACAAGGAGCGCGTCCCCAACGCCGGCCCGGTGCGGCACAGCAGGCCCGTGGACGTCGCTGTCCAGCCCGATACGGCGTTCGTGCACCCCGCGCACCCCGCGCAGGGCGTGGCCGACGCGGACGCGGCACGAGCGTCACGCGCTCGTGGACGTCGGCCGTCGGGGACTGCGTCGCCCACCTCGGCGCCGGCACCACCGCCACCGCCTCCACCCGCACCGACTGACCTAGACGGCCACCTAGACGGCCCGGAGGTCATGCAGTTCGTGGCCGAAGTGAAGCCACCCAGGGCCAGAGGCAGGAGCCGGAAGAATGACTCGCGTCGCCGAGGCCCCAGCGCCGCCATCCCCCAGCAGGCGGTCCACGAAGTGGAGCCGGAGGATATCTTCGCGCCGGTCAGCGCCGCTTCACCTGCGCCGCCCCGCCACCAGCCTCAGCGCGCGTACAGCAAGAAGCCCCGCAAGCAGCTCAAGAAGGTCTCGCTGGCGTCCGGCGAGGTGCAGGAGCCGCTGGAGACGGCGTACGCGTCAAGTCCCGCATCGCCTCGCCTGCAACACGCGTGGGGTCCGGTGGCCACTGAGGCGTCTGGCGACGTCCTGTCAGACTTGAGGGACGACGGCCTCGAGCACCGCGATGATGCCGTCGAGGACCTGGAGCGCGACGACATCTACTCGTTTCTGAGCCAGCGCGCCAAGCGGAGGCGTGCCAAGGGAAGCCCCTCCCACGGTGCAGAGCCCACCATGGCCGCCATGGCCGAACCTCTAGCAGGGGGGCCCGGGGGCCCCGCGGGGGGCGCGCCCGCCATGGCCGAGGCAGACCCCTTGCAGGGCCCGCAGGCGCCGCGATGGGGCAGGAAGGGGGCCCCGGCAAGGAGGCGGGGGCTGGCGGTCATCGACGAGTAATGCGTTGTTATTGTTGTTTTTATTTTTGTTAATGGTTCGTAGTTTGTTACTGTATACCACCACGCTTCGTTCTTTATAATAATGTAATAAGACTGCTAGTTTTTTTGACCTCTCTACACGAGAATCTCCTGGCTCCCTTAGTCACCTGGGAGCCCCGGGAATCCTCATTAACCAAATATAAAGTATGAGTACTCTCGAACTGATAGAGCTTTTTCTTAGGATTTTATATATTTGGACTAATATATTCATTCCAGTTGTTCAGTGTACGTAGTTGCATACCTTGTTGCTCCCAGTTCCTTTAAAGGCTTCACTGTGTGTGGTTACCACGCCACCCGCAGCGCTAACCCTTAGTCTAGCAAACAGATGTGGTGTTTATTGATTGCGAGGCTACACCCCGAACGGCGATGACCGTCCAAGTTGTTTGGAGAAGGCCAAACAAATCTCCTGTGTTTTATTCCCCATTTAATGAGGGCAAGTGCGGTGGTCCGACTAAACAGGGTGGCAGCACAAAAATAGTACAGAATAGTTTAAAAAATATACCTTTTAATTTATATACAAATGGTACAAAATCGCTGTCACAATCAACAAAAATCACGTATCGTCTTTGGCACTCATTGAGAAGAAACTCTTTCCCCCCACTTTGTTCACTTCGCCGCGCGGCGTGCGGGCCTTGCGGGCCCCGTCAGGCACACTGTCAGGCACGGCTAGTCGTGCACTGTGCTGCTGCGTCGCTACATGGCCCCCGAGCCCATGACGTCCACGAAGCGCTGCAGGAAGGGCTGGTACTGTTGTGCGTAGTCCTGCTGGCACGATTGCTGCAGCTCAACCAGGTGGCCGCCGCTCAGCCCCCGGCCCCGTCGGCACACCATGTCGTCGTTCTTAACGCCGTCCTCGTCCTTGACGGGGAGGTCGTCGTCGGCGCCGGAGGAGGACGCGTTGGAGGAGGCGCCGGAACAGGGTGCGGTGGCGGTGGCCGGCCCGCCGTGCCGCGCGGACGACGAGGTGGCCCTCGCGGAGGACGACGACGAGCCCCGCGAGATCCAGGGCTCCGGGCCGGACAGGCCGGGGACTCCGGGCGCGCCGGGCTGCGGGAAGGCGAAGGGCCACGTCTGGAAGCACAAGACAGGGCACGGGTCAGAGACTGGTCACAGTGGACGGGCACGAACCATATTCAGTCCACAAACATGGAGGCCATAGGGGCGGCGACGGCGTCCTGGCCGGGATAATCTCGCGGGCTCCCCGACTGTGGGCATCCCCGCAGAGCGGATGCCAATGCAACAGATCCGAGGAACTCCTCTCCCCACGAAGCACGCTGAGTGCCTGAAGAAGGACCAGACGGAAAGGGGGCCCTTGTCTCGGCGTGACGCGGCAAGTGACGAGGGTCGCGAGGGCGGGTCGCGGCGGCGAGGCCATCCGTCGCAGCCTGGCTAAGGCCCTGGCTAAGGCCCTGGCTAAGGCCCCGCGCCCCCGGTAAGGGGGACATTTGATCCAAAACTGCGGGCCAGGTTCAGGGCGCAACCCATATGTTCATCAAAGTTGCGATCGCTGTGTAAACACATGTGCGGGCGGAGCGGGTCGGGGCAGCGCACTGCTACGCCAGGCTACGCACTGCGAGGAGTGCGTGGGCAGCGAGACACAGGAAGCGTGGGAAGAGGACGAGGGGAGTCACTTTGTGCTCGGGCTGCCCCCGATCTGGCCGGTCTGGCCGCACGGGGGCGGACCGGGGACCGGCGGACTCGTGTTTTCATTTTTTTCCCCATAACGAGACTCACGGAAAACTCTCAGGCAACAATAAAGCGTGATAAGGCCCAAAGTAAGTAACTTTGACTTCTGGCGCACCGGAGGGCGGCGAATCGTGGGGGGCGGGAAGCCGCGACCGGTGAAGTAATGACAATAAAAGCGCGAAGCCGCGAACGGCACCAGTGACTAGCCGCTCGGCGAGGAGCCCAAACCATGGGTTTATAACCCATACCGAGCATCTTCTGCTTCCTGAACCGTCCCGACGGGACACTTTTCAAGAGATTCAATGACTTGATTTCTGATAAGCAGTCTTCGCCACCACCACGGTTCGAAAAAAATCCCTGGCGGCCGAGTTGCTCTTAAAAATGCATGACGCTGCATTCAAATTAAAAACAGACGAAAAAGCAAATATGACAGAACTTGTGGGTGACTTAAAAACAAACAGAGAAACATAAGAAAATTTCGAATTTTTGACTAGTTACGGTAGCTTAGCCGTCGGGAAACTAAGTGGGGGTGGTCACAGGTTACAGGTACAAAACGCGGTATTTGCAGTGTATCGTTATACAGCGCGCGAGTCAGTGCGACGAGTACTCACCAGGTTGAGGGGGTTGTTGGAGGCGCCCACGGCGTGGGGGTGCGGCGCGGCGGCGCCCGGCGGTCCCGGCGGCGCCTCGGGCAGGAGCAGCACGTCGCGCAGGTGGGCGATGTAGGAGGTGGCGAGGCGCAGCGTGTCCAGCTTGCTGAGCTTGGTGTCGGCCGGCACCCAGGGCAGCGTCGTCTGCGAGCACGGGCAGTCGTCGCGTCAGCACTTCACCTTGGCAGTGACGGCCAAGGGCAAGAACTGGGACAAAAGAATCGAACGGACCGCGCCCGGGCAGCCCGGGCAGCGCCCCGCCCTGCGCACGATGCGAGCCTCGTTGCGAGTCATTCAGGCGCGGGGTAGCGACGGTTCCATTCCATTCCTTTGTCCAGGACCCGGGACCCAACCCCGAGACGCGTGCGGCTCGCGAGGCACGCCTGGCTCACCTTGAGTCTGCAGAAGGCCCTGGACAGCACCCTCATGCGCGCGCGCTCTCTGGCGTTGGCCGCGTTGCGCTGCAGGGGCTGGCCGCCCGGGGAACCTGCGCAGCCCGGGGGCGATCCGCAGTCCTCAAGGTCGTCGTCCATGCTGCTGTCGTCCACGGGGAGGTGGTTGTTGTTGAGGCGCGCCTTGACCGCGGCCCCGTCGCATCGCCTCCGCCGCGGCATGGTGTGCTGCGGGGCAAGAACCAGTGAACCATGTTGTGCCGTGCAGCACCGCACACCGCCGTGGCCGAGGCCGAGGCGCCACCGCTACCTTGCCACTCGCCCCCTCAACCCCTCCCCTGTTTTACCTGATCATTCGCTCTGATCACCAGAGTGCCACGAACATCCATCCAGCGCAAGTTAGTTGTGAAACCCGGGCGGGCGCATCCCCCGTATAATCAGGCTAAGCACCGACAACCACAAATCACAACACAACACAACACACGCGAGCCGAGCCGAGGCGAGGCGGAGCAAATCAGACAGATTGAAAACACGCGTGGTGCGTCGAATGCGGCGAGGCGGCTAACTGGCTGCCGAAAGGACGGACCGAGTGGGGCCCGCTGTGGGGCTGCTGAGGCAAATGGGGCACTAATTAGTCAAAAACAAAACGCCCCGGCCCACGCGTGTGGTGGGGGAGGGAGGGAGTGGTTTGGGGCCCCGGTGGGTGGAGTCTACAAATGTCTTGGGATGCTGCGGGGCGGGGGCGGGGGCGGGGGCGGGGGCGGGGGCGGGGGCGGGGGCGGGGGCGGAAGGAGCCTGGGTGCAGCGAGGGGGTGGGGGTAGCGAGGCACGCGGGAGAGAAGCTTGCTGGGAAGCATCGGCCCCAGCTTTCGAACCAAATGCGGGGCCTGGATCAGAGTACGATACGTATTAGGGCGAAGGGCCTTTCGCTGACATCTCCATCGAAGAGACAACAAGGCAGACGGTGCTCAATAAGGCGACCCTCCACGGCGCTCCCTTTCTCTGTCTCACTGCGGAATCTCTGTGGAGCACGCCTATGAGTGCGAGAGAGACCGAGCCACGACGCCGCCCCAACTGGCCCCAACTATTTCCCGTCAAGGCACTCAAGGACAAGGGGCAGCACGTGCCCGGAGCCCCGGGCCCGCGCGCCGTCTCAACGAGTCTGCTTTTCCTTCAGCGGCAGACTTCTAAAACTGCGCACCCCGCAGAGCACGCGGTGCTCGAGGACCGCGGCTGGCCGCCAATCGCCGCCAAATTAATCAGGCCGCGTCGAGAGGGCCGAGGTGTCGATTTGGCGGGGCGGCGGGACGGCGGGGCGGCGGGGCGGCGGGGCGGCGGGGCGGCGGGGCGGCGGGGCGGCGGGGCGGCGGGGCGGCGGGGCGGCGGGGCGGCGGGGCGGCGGGGGCGAGAAAGCGCCGCGAGGAGGAAGTTGTAAAGAGGACGCGATCGCGCGGGAATCGTTCAAAAAAAGAGGAAGAATAAAAAAAGAGGAAGCAAACGGAGGCGTTTCCGCTCGGCTTTATCGTCGTGGTCATCCCTACCCTAAACCCCCACAACGGCCCCAGCACGCCCCGCCACGGCCCCACCACGCCCCGCCACGCCCCACGCCGGGCCTGCGTGCAGCTGGCGGCTGAAGCAGGCTGAAGCAGTGTCTCGCCTTCGATCCTTGTTTTATACACCGAGTTGGACGCAAAACGAGTTCGACAGTGAGGGGCAGAGGCGGAGGTTGGCGGAGCGAGGGGGCGAGGGAGACGCGTGTTGGGGGAAGTCTCTGTTTTTCCTGTGAATCGGTGGTTCCACAAACCCTGTTTCATGCCTTGGGGGTAAGGCGTGAGCGAGCGGGTGAGGTCCGAGAATGGGGGTCGCGTCGCGCCACAGTCCGTGGCGCCTTTATCCGCACCGCCTCCTTATTCGACAAGGAAGGGAAGCGCGGAGGACCCGGCACCCTGGCCGCCCTGGCCGCCCTGCCTGCGCCACAAAGGCTTTGATGCGTCGACAGTCGAGAATAGCTCACAAGCTCAAGTGGGCCTCCGCCCCGCCCCGCCCCGCCCCGCCCCGCCCCGCCCGCCCCGCCCCGCCCCGGGCCTGGCCGTCCAGGTGGACCATGTCGGGCTGCGGAAGCCGCAGCTACCGCGCCACGCGCCCCCTGCAGGGCGTGAGGGGCGTGAGGGGCGTGAGGGGCGTGAGGGGAGGGGGCTTCGCCCACAACTCATCGATTGAACGTTTTGGAGTTCAAGTAGGGCTGCCGGGCGGAGTCGTGCTGTCCGTGATTGTCAAGGTTGCTATTGCGAACCCCGCGTGCTGCCGGGCTGGGTCCTCGGCTGGGCCGGGCCGGCCGGGCCGGCGAGGGCGAAACCCGACACGCAAGAACCTGGCTGCCGAGTCAAAGGTGATGTGTGGTTCTCGCAGCGCGTCGCAGCGCAGCGACACGACATTCCGTTCCGAAGAAAGACGGCGCGACGCCAAGCCGTCTCGGCCCATTGGACCGAGGAGGCCCCGCTGGGGGCCCACTGGGGGCCTACTGGGAGCCCAGCCGGTAACGGCCACGTGTCAGCTCTGAGTCTTATTGAAAAGAAAACAAAAGACGAGGCCTCCTATCTATTGTTGATTTAAATCGATAACAAGGTCTAGTCTTTTGTTTTCCTTTCAATAAGACTCAGAGCTTGTGAATGTCTTCCTTGCTTCGACTTTCCCCGAACCGCCACTGCTTGACGCACGACGCATTCGCGTAACCCACCTCACGTGGCGATCCTTTTATCCATGCGAGGCGTGCAAAAGTTCCGGCCGTCTGAGAGCCGTGCTTAGGCCGGGCAGGCCGGGCAGGCCGGGCAGGCCCACCGCCTCTCCCCTTTTCCCCCGAACCGCGGTCGCGTGCTGGACGCGTCGCCGTGCCGACCGCATTGATGTGAGACCGTCATAATTGGACGAAACGAAATGAGCAGCTAGCCGAATGGAAAACGAAACAATGAAACGGCCGCCGGCAGCCACAGGGCGCACGGGGTGCGGCACGGGGGCGGTGGGTGCACACAGTGCAACACACGGCCGCGCATTTTATTATTTTATTGTGGTGGCGCGGCGATGTGGCGATGCGGCGATGCGGCGATGCGGCGATGTGGTGGCGATGTTGCGATGCGGCGATGTGGTGGCGATGTTGCGATGCGGCGAAGCGGCACGGCACCCCAATTTGGCGTTTCGCCGTCGTCGTGCCATATCAAAGGGCGAACCGGGCCGGAAGAGGCAAGGACAGAGGAGGCGCGCACTCGACCGGACTCAGCCGGACTCGGCGCAATGTTCAGTTTGGCGTGCGCAGCGGTAGCTCTGGCCCACGCGCGGCCCGGCCGGTGCACGTGTACGCTGCGACCCCCTACACCGCCACCGCCCCTCCGCGCGAGCTCCTAGACACGGCTCTCTCGCTCCGGTCACCACTCTCATTAGTCCGAGCTGCAGCCCCCCCCCCCTCTCCCGCAAAGCACCGGCTCTATCCATCGCCCGCCAGCCCACTTTCGCCGCAGCCCCTGCTCCATGCTCCCCTATTTCTGCCGCTTTTAGTTTTAATGTGTTCCGCAAACTCTCGCCCAGACAGGCTGTCTGGGGGCTGCACTGTTTTCTCGGTAATCTGTGGCCGGGTCCGCGACAGACACACACACGCACGCTCACACACAATACACGCCCCGCGCGCGCGCGCGCGCGCACACACACACACACACACACACACACACACACACACACACACACACACACACACCTCTGCCGAAGCCAAGACGCGATGACAGGTTTACGTGCCGTTTCTGAAGCGCCGCCTCCAGCAAGCCTCTAGCAACGCATTCTCTCAGGCTCTCAGGGTACTGAGGGGTGGCGGGGTGGCCGAAGGGGCAGCCCAGCGCACCAGCCTTCTGTCTCTCCCCTAAGACGCCCGGTCCATTATCAGATGAAAACCGCAGTTCGGGACTCAGCGCCGGAAGGTAACGGGCAGCGACCGGCTGAAGTTGCAGGTGGCCTTCCCTGACAGCAGGGACCTCAGAGAGCACAGAGAGAGAAAGAGAAAGAGAGAGACGGGAATGGAGAGAGAGGAGGGAGAGAGAGAGACAGAGAAAGAGAGAGAGAGAGAGAGAGAGAGAGAGAGAGAGAGAGAGAGGAGAGAGAGAGAGACAGAGAGAGAGAGAGGAAGGAGAGACAGAAAGAAAGAGAGGTAGGGAGGGAGGGAGGTTGGGAAAGAGAAAGAAAGAGATTAGACGATGCCTCGCACTCACACAACTCTCCTCTTTCTCTGGCCGGGACTGATCCGGGCCGCGGTTCTCGGGAGGGGCGGTGAAGTTCAAGGTTGTGCAGGTAGAGCCCCGTATCTATGGAGGATACGCCGCGAATGGCTTGCTTCTTTTCATGCGCAGTTTCTCGTATTTTGAATCGGGTGATCTGACTCGGTCTGACTTTGGCGGTGCGTTTGTATCACGGCAACAGGCCGTGACTTCATCGCGCTTGTCAGCCCAGGCACAACCCGCAGCCAGCCCCATTCCCCTGGCGACACCCTCACCCTCCCCTTCCCCCTCCCCCACCCGCCTGTTGCGGCGTGCGGCCGGGCGCCCCCGTACGTTCGGAGGGCGGCTCCTTGCCAAGTTTGGCAGTTTGACTCCAGTTCCTACAAGGAGGCCTCCAAGTCGGGGCACTTGAGCGCTTTCACTTATTAACTCTGGTATTGGTGTTATTGCGTTGGGCGATTCGAGGCTCCGGATCATTCGCTCAGCCCACCATTTTTAATTTCTGGGGGAAAAAAAAAGCCATAGGTTGATTTAAGATTTAAATTTTAATCATAGAATGTACAACTTTATTACAGCATCAATTCGTGTCAGGAATTGATCTAATTGCAAAGTACCCTGCACCAAGACAAATAAGAGTCGTAGAGGAGATGGTAACAAAAATCATTTCACTTCCTCTGAAGTTTCCAGCTTCGCTCCGTTATTCGCAATAGAATCTCCTCTCCCCCTCTCTCCTCTTGGACCGAGGCAATAATACCCCGATGGCAACTAAAGCCTTAAGTACATCACAATAAAAGAAGAGATCTATCTCATCTTTGGTTTCTTCTTCTGAGTTGTCGAACGTCAGTGGAGATTGTACAACAGGACGATCCTCCACACTTGCTTGAGGAAGGAATAATAAAAGAGGGAATGGATTTTGTAGAAGTACGTCAGATTTGAAAGACAGTTACAGAAAGCAGTTAGACGCATCCACAAAACCCAAAACTTCACAAAGTCATTAAAAAAAAAAACAAAAAAAAAAAACGAAGGAGATTCGTGCCTGAATTATTTGTTATCGATACTACAGAATTTAAATAATTTAAATGTAACGCGGCAGGAGAAAGTTGCCGCCATTATGGACCCGGAAAACCAGAGGCACAGTCCGACAAACGCCAAACAGCATTAAAATCATCAACCAGCATCCGCTTACACACTAATAATTGACAAAGTGCCTAAAAGATCAGCCTTTTCTTCAAAAGTATTTGACGGTGATCAATAAATCAAATATTTATAGAAATAAAAATACATGGAACAGTCTGAGTATTCAAGGGATGCGAGATGGAGCTCTTTTAGCCGCTAACACGTGGTCCACGGACAGGAAGGTGTTGACGGCGGCCACGGCATGCTGCAGCACGGCGACGCGCAGCGCCACAGGTTCTGGGGGCGGCTGGAGGGGGTGTTGCCGCAGCAAGGCGCGGGGCACGGCGGCCACGGCCTCGACCAAGGCCTTGAAGACCGCGTCCTCTTCGCGGACGCACTGGAAAGCCTCCACCAGCTGGGCAACGACGGGAGGCGGCTCTCTCTTCTCGCGTTGCTGTTGGTGCCAGACAAGGAGCTCGTCGCGGCCGAGAGGAGTCCCTCCCAGGGCCCGGTGCAGCTCCCTCTCCAGCCAGCCTCCTCCCGGACACAGCGCGCTGCCCGGGACGCGCACGCTGTTCGCGAAGCACAGCAGCTGCACGGCGTCGCGCAGCGCGGTCCCCAGCTCGTTGGCCAGCTGCTGGGTGGGGGCGTGCACCTGCAGCTGCCGCACGCCGTCCAGGCCGAGCCAGGCGGCGCCGCGGTGCTCGACGCGCACGTCCACGACGAGGTCGTCCTTGCTGTCCAACAGGCGCTCCATCAGGAAGCGCTCGTCCTCCTCGGGGACGCAGTGCAGCACCGCGGCGCCTCGCAGGCGCAGCGCGAACAGCGACACGTCGCTGAGCGCCGCGGCCGTCACGACCAGCACGTCGCTCACGTCCGCCACGTCCGCCAGCAGAGCGGTCACGGCGGCCTGCACGTCGAGCACGTCGTCGCCGCCGTCCCCGGCCAGCACGACGACGCGGCGCCGCTCCACGCGGCCCTCGGCCACGAAGTGAAGCGTGGACGAGTCCACCACCAGGCCGTCGCGCAGCAGCGAGTCCGCCACACTGTGCCCCGAGGCCTGGCGCCGCCGGCACAGCACCGGCAGGTGCCTCCTCAGGAACTGGACGTCGTCGACGGCGCGGAGCAGGGACGACGCCGCGGGCAGGAAGGCCGCCGCCACATCGCGCGTGAACCGCGTCGCCAGCACGGACTCCACCACGGACGTCGCGTCCACGGCGGGAACCGCGGCGCCGCGGGGCAGCGAGTTGGACAGCGCCATCCCGACGCGGTTCAACGCGAGGCGGGCCTTGGCCAGCTCGACGCCGCGGAGGCGCTGCAGGTGGTGCAGCAGGACCCCCGCCGTCAGCAGCATGCACTTGACGCCGTCCCCCGCCTGCTGGCGCAGCGAGCGCGCGCTCTGCAGCAGCACCACTTCCTCGCAGCCCAGGTCAGACGACCTCTCGGGGCTGAAGACCGCTTCCAGGATGTTCATCGCGTCGCGGGTGATGGCCATGTCTCCGGCGGGGCCCTGGACCATGACGCCGCGCCCCGCCGGCCCGAACGCCACGCCCACCACCTCGGCCACAACCTGGGACGCACGCAGCGCGCGTGCCAGCCTGAAACCAAACGCAAAAATACGTTACAGACACATGCGCTTTCAAGCACATGCTTTAGTCGAGTACAGTCTCGGCACTTGTGTTTCCATAAAATTACCCACACCTGACAAGGCGGCGTGCAAATTTTCACGTCTTCCTTTTCGGAGGAGGGCCTCCAGTGGCCGAAAAAGGTGACGTCATATTTGCACGCCACCTTGAACTTATGGCAGGGCACTCTCGAGACAACGCTATCCGTCCTTAAGAAAAGGCAGCCGGAAATTATTGACCTAAGGTCGCGTGACTGCGGACGGCACGACATTCCAGTTGCGCCTGGGAAGCCGGCCAGGCGACCAGGCGGCCATGCAGCCATGCAGCCATGCACTATGCAGGAGCAAGCCGAAAAGTGCCGCTCGGACTTTGGGACCTTTCCAGACCCAACCCACCCCCCGGGTCAAGCAAAAAAAACAAGGAAAAGAACTGACCCGTCGGCGGCGTTGCTGCCCCGGCTAGTGTCGGCCATCCCGCTCGAGGCTGCCGTCCTGGAGCTGCCAGGCCGGGCCGTACAGCTGGGCGCCGGACTCGTCCACCCGCAGCAGCGCGGGGTTCTTGCTGGTGTTGTTCGGGTTGCCCAGCGACGTGTACCTGGAACAAAGGCAAACCCTACATAAGCTCGACGAAGACGCAACTGGCACCGACCCTTTGGCGCCTTCTTAGCCAAGAAGCGTCCTCCAGGCCGCTAGCGCAGTTTAAACTCTGGGCCCGGTTAATCCGGAAATGAAACGAAACGCCTTTTCACACGCTGCATGACGAATGGAGGCATGCGATCGCCTGGCGGCCCGCGGCCGGCGAGCGAGCACGGCTAGCAAGTGTGCCCCGCGCCGCGCCGCGCCCCGCCTCCACAGAGAGGGTCCCTACCCCGCCCAGCCCGCCACACTCCTGGCGCTGGGGCGGGCCGGCCGGCCGGCCGTGGCGCCGTCCACTTGATTTGAGAGCCTGGACCACACTTGATCGTATGCCATAACGTTTGTGCGCACAGTGGGCCAGGAGACGGGCGCAGGCGGCCAAAACTCTAGGCGCGTTTTCAGCTCCAGAGTCGCTAAATGGGACTCGGACCAAACGTGTGACCCCACCAGTGGATTCCTCGTTCGGAGAGCTATCCATTGGTGTGGTCACACGTTCCGTTCGAGTCCTATTTAGCGACTCTGGAGCTCACAACGCGTCTGGAGTTTTGACCGCCTCCACCGGTCATCTGGCCCACTGTGGTGCGCCGAGTTCGGCGCGGCACGGTGCCCCTCCGGTGGCCGGCCGGCGCGGTGAGCGCGGTGCACTCGGGTGCAGCGGGGGCAGTCAAAGGAAGTGAACGACCATACAGCTAGGCTTTGATGTCGGCACGTCGATCCGCCTGCAAAGCGCACTTTGAGCAAAGCACGCGTGGCAGTGGGCAGGCAGTGCGTCAGCAGTGCGTCAGCGAGGCGCCGGCAGGGGTCAGGGGTAAAGGGCGGTGGGGTGGGGTGAGGGGGTATGTGATGAGGAGTAGCTGATGGCCAGCAATAATTACATCAAAGCTTGGCTCCGGCGCGGCGGGGCGTGGCGCGACGAGGCGGGACGGCGCCCCAGCCAGCACGCAAAGCGGACAGATAATACGTCCTCGCCCTACGTCCGAAAAGCGGCCACAAAAATAGATGGTTGTATAGCTGGAGAGCGCGGCGGACCGCCTACAGGACAACGCCACTCCGGCAAGCCATAGCCCGGCATCGACATCGAACGCAAGACAAGGCGTCCTTCCAGCCAACTCAGTGCCCAGCACAGTCTAACTTATCCATAAACCCCAGGGCGTGGAGAATAATGCATGCGGCGCATCGACGCGACGCGACGCGCGGCAGCGATGCCGTAATCGGTGCAGGCGGTCTCTCCCCCTAGGCCTCGCCCCCTAGGCCTCGCCCCCTAGGCCTCTCCCCATAGGCCTCGCCCCCTAGGCCTTGCCCCCTAGGCCTCTCCCCCTAGGCCTCGCCCCCTAGGCCTCGCCCCCTAGGCCTCTCCCCCTAGGCCTCGCCCCCTAGGCCTCGCCCTCTAGGCCTCGCCCTCTACGCCTCGGCCTCGCCGCCATTACTCACTCATTGGGAAATGTCGTAGTTTTGGTGCGCGTGGACGGTGGCCGAGACGGTCTGGATGTTCCCCTGCGCGGCCACGCCCCGCCAGGCCGGGCTGCCGGCTGGCGTGCTGCTGGTGGACGCACTCCCACGCCGCAGAGCCCGCGGAGCCAGCAGGGGCTCCTCGGGGATGGCGCGCAGGCCCCTCGGCGAGCGCGGCGAGCGCGGCGAGGGGTACTCCAGGACGATGAGCGGGACCAGGTCGGGCGTAGGCGGCGGCGAAGTTTCCGGCGAGCATGGCGGCGGCGGTGGTACGGGGCGAGGCCACGGCGGCGGGGCCAGGCACGGCGAGCATGGTGGAGTCGGCGGGACGAGGCTAGGCCACGGCGGCGGGGGCAGGCATGCCTCCGTGGCAACGTCGTCATCCACGTCGTCGTTCGCGTGCTCCATGCACGACGCACCCACCACAACGTCGTCCAGGTCATCCTCGTCGTCCTGCTCTTCGCTCGACATGAGTTCGTCCGAGTCGCCCTCGCCGTGCACGCGGGATGCCTGGGAGCCCCTGCCCGCCCCGGTCAGCACGAGCTGCCTGCGCCGCTGCCGCCACTCGTCCATCTCCAGCATCTTGCGCTTGTAGAAGGAGCGCGGCGCGGAGGAGATGGCGCCGCGGTGGCGGAGGGAGGCGCGCTTCCCCCTGGCGGCGGCCGCCACCACGGGCTCCACGGTGAAGAGGCGGCGCGCGCGGATGTACAGGACGCAGGCCACGCACAGGGCCAGCGGCAGCAGCCCGCCCATCCACGCCGACAGCCCGGTGGACGTCGCCTCGCGCACCGCCACGGGCACCGCCACGCGCCACCACGTCGCCACGGCCGCGTCCGCCACCTCACACTCGAACTCGAGGCCCGGCCCCATGTAGTCGTTGTAGAACTTGGTGCACGAGTACTTGACGGCGTCCAGGCCGCAGGCCGCCACGTTCACCAGGAGCGGCACCGTCTCCACGGCCGGCGCCGGAGGCCTCGGCGACGACGTCGGCACGCTCACGTTATACTCGCCCTCGTCATAGTCCTCGGCGTTGGCCTGCAAGGCAGCAACCAGCCAGCCTCAGCCACTGCCCACATTGCCCGAGGTCTCGACAGGAGCTACGAAGGAGGCCGGCTAGGCAGGCACCATTTTACTCGGCTAATTCGTGTGCGCGAACGCCAAACGAGAATCGAACCGAAGCAGAGCGCCGGCCGATGCCGGGCCGCCGGGCCGCGAGAGGGGCGTGGTGCACGGGGTGCACCCTCGGTGGGTTGCGTGGGGCGGCCGAGGCCTCGGGCAATGCGAAATCAGTGGCGTCATGCATCCCCTGATAAAAGGTGGAAATCGTCGTTCCCGTCCCTCTAATTAGACAGCTGCCTTTGTACCTCGCCGCATGGATTTTTCGCTCCTCATTCAAAGCAATGCCTTGCCATGTTGCGAGTCGCGGCCAGATCTGAAGCCAGTGCGTCAAGCACTGAACTCTAAGGTGCTCTAAACCGTTGAAGTTGAAACTTTTGACTGCTCACGAGACGTTCAGTTATTACTAAAGACCGGATAAAATGTTCGAAAAGTGCACTTGACGGGTGTTGACGTAACTTTCAACAAGTTTTTCTTGTAGCTAAGTTACGGACCTCTGACTCTGCTGTCTTTCTTTTCTCTTTGTGCAGACCTGCTTACTTTGCAGGCCAAACGATTGTCTCTCTTGTGACAAAGCCAAGGGCATTAACACGAAAATTAAAATCGGATGCGGCGCGCCAAAAGTGCTCTAAAATCGATCCTCTTTGAATGGGCGTCGCTGCGGCCAATGCCGGCCTGGCCTTGCGGGGCCCTGCGGCAGGCCTTGCGACGAGCGCGCCCTCAAAACAAACGGGAAAAGAGAAGTCATCGGGGGAGACGAGCTTGACTACAGCACCCTGATTTTGATGGCCAAGCAAACAAATGAAACAAAGTAGGGCGGTGGCGCGGGTGGCGCGCCGCGCCGCACGTTTCCGGGAATCTGAATCGGGGCCATATACTCTACCAGTACCCGGCTGCACCGGCGAGGCACTGCGAGGCACTGCGAGGCACTGCGCCCACCGACCCCGCCGGGAAAGTAAACAACCCAAGGGAAGGACGAGACCACGGCCACGTGTGTGGGCGTGCACTCGGAGCGCCGCCACTGCCCGCTGGGCTGCGCGCTGCGCAAGGCCAGGCTGAGCTGTCTGGACGAGGCTCTGCCTGGCTCAGCCCGAAGTGGCCGGGTCGATCTCTGCGTGGCTCCCAGTCCCACGGGGCTTCATTGCAAATGAATAGACAGACGCGGGCGGCGGCAGGGCCCGTCGCTAAGCGCCGCGTGCGTGCCGGTGAAGGCGCCGGTCGGCCCAGTGGGCCCACCTCGGGGAAGAGCGTGTAGTTGACGAAGATCTGGGGGCACTTGTACGCCTGCGAGGTGCAGCTTTCGCGGCACGACGCCCAGGTGCAGTTGGACGCGCCCATGACGATGGTGTAGTTGACGGTGACGCAGCGGGCGCGCTGCAGCCGCGTGGACAATTCGAGCAGCAGCGGGTCGGAGAAGAGAGCCAGCCCCACCACCATGCCCATGAACGTGACGATGACGAGCACGGCGCAGCATCGGCCCTCCACCTCGCGGAGGCTGGCCACCCTGGCGGCCTTGGGGGCCTCGGGCACGCACGCGCCGCACGGCCACCGCGGCACGCACGCGCAGCAAGGTTCGCAAGGGCCGCCGCGCCCGCACCCCGACCGGGGGCGCGCCGACGACGCCCTTTGGAAGTCGAGGAAGACGCGGTCGCCGTCGGCAGCGACCTGCGGGACGGCCCCGGGCGGCGGCGTGCACGGCGTGACGGTGGTCGTGGTGGTGGGCGGCGTGGCCGGCGTCGCGGGCGACACGGCCGCGCCGCAGCACGACACGCACCATCCGGGTCGCGCGGGGCCCGGCAGGGCCAGCTCGGCGTGCCGCGTCTCCAGGTACCCGTCGCGGCGCGTGGTGCGCACCGGGCCGCCCTGCGCCGCGGAGCACGGCGGGCACGTGGGACATGCTGTCTGCATGACGGCCTCGCATGGCGGCCGTCATGGCCGCGGGGAACGCGTCGGCACGCGGCCCGCGACGAAGATCACCAGGGCGGCCTGGTGCGCCTCGCACGACGGCAGAGACACCGCACTGGGTGCACTGGGTGCACAAGGCACGGGCGGCATGGCGCTGGCAGACGACGCGCACCCCACGGCACCCCGCGGCGTCACACAACGCCCCCGGCCCCGCGACACGCGCCGCACGAACGCCTGACCGCGACTACACGATGGCTACGCCGCTACACGCCCCCCACTGGCCGTGCCCCGGGCCCGGTGCCCGCCCTGCCGGGGCCCTGCCCGCCGCACACCAACGGCAACGCGACGCCACGACCGGAGGCCGCCGTCGCCAGGCCGCCACGCCGTCAGGGCGCCAGGCCACCAGGCCCAGCGGGGCCCATCCGCCGCGCCCCACTGGGCCAGTCAACAAGGCCTTCGGGGACGGAGGGATAGCCAGCGAGCTCCACCCTTGCCCCGCCCGCCCCGCCCCGTCACGCGTCGCCACGCGCCGCAAAAAGGGACTCGCGGAAAGAGCATTTCGACTTTGGAACCAGGAGTCACTTTCGCTCGGATCGGGTCTCGAACCGGTGAAAAGGACAGGCGGGGACCCAACCATAATCATCCCTCACGCCGCGCGCTGCCCTGCGTTCGTGTCAGGGTCGGGTCAGACCGCGATGCGAGGCAGTGCGAGGCACAGCGAGGCCGGCCGGCTGGCCAGGCCATCGATTTTGCCATCATGACGTATGACGACAAGAATTTTACACAGGTCAGGGGCCGGGCAGATCCATGCATCGTCGGTCACGGGGGTCATTTGCTTAGGACACGCGAAAATAGATGAGGAAACATGCATGCTGTCTGTCCGACGCCACTCGAGCTAGCCTTGGTGGGGAAAATTTGAAAACAAATCGGACTAGAATAGAACAGTACGATCATTCGATGAAGCTCCAATCTTGATGAAACGTTGTGGTGCCTTTTTGGCTCGTCAGCAGCGACGCACGGCAGCAGCGACGCACGGCAGCAGCGACGCACGGCAGCAGCGACGCACGGCAGCAGCGCGCCGCCGCCGCGGGGCGGGCCGCCGCGGGCCTACCCTACTACAGCGCGCTCAGCAGGGCGGGGCCGGCGCGGCCGGGGCCGCCCAATAATTTGCCAACATGTTTTTCTTTGTTTTTAGCAAATGATACCTGTACACATGGCTTTCCCCGCGGGCCCCGCTCCCCCCCTCCCTCCGCCCCTCTCCACCCCGCTAGGCTCGGCAAGGACTCCCTCCACTCCCCTCCAATTTCACACACAATTTTAAATACTATTACTAAAATAAGCCCACACTACCACTTAGAGGAAAACCAAACGAATATCATCCGCTTTCATTAACGTTCGTTGAATGAGATTTAGTTTTCAAATTGAATTGCCCCTGCAATTGCTAATCCGACGCGAGCGGGGTTTGAACGAACACGAACGCAAAGAGAGGTGTGCAACAAGCACTCACGACGGAGCCTTCCGCGTCATCCGCCCGCCTCAGTGTTCGGCCTACTTACAAAGAACGCACAGCTGCCTAGCCCGCGCGATCACAGCTCGGGTGCGGCCGGTGCGGCCTGCGGGATGGATGGCGAGGTGCAATTTTGGCTCCAGCCGCGCACTTGCTGGGGCTGCCTTGGCGACGCCGCGACGCCCGCCACTCGTCTGGCCTCCGTGCGGCCCTCCCCGCCAACGCGTGCACGCGTGGGTGGCACCCACTGGCTGAGCCAGCGGCCCAGCGGGTAGCCGCGAGGCGCCGCTCTGGCCGCGGAACGCAGCGGAACGCAGAGGAACGCCACACGCCAGCACATCGCTGTTATGCAAATATCTTTTATTTGGGGATGGGGATGCGCCCTTTTTACGAGGCTCACGTGCCGAGCCATGCGCCCTGCCTGCAAGGGTCTCTCGGCAGGGCACTCATTCGTGTTCCGTGGGAGTCCTCCAGGTTGGTTTTGTTGCCCGCCGCGAGCCCCGTCACCCGCCGAGCGTCCCTTGCAGCGCCAAGGCAGCGCCCCACCGACGAGAGTGGCGCCCACGGCGCCCTGGACAGCACGGCGCATCGCAGTGGGGCGCACTGGGAGCGCATGCAAAGCCAATCAGAGCTGCTTAAGGGGCCAGTCGGCCAAGGGTGAGAGGGCCCGTGGGCCAAAGGGTGAAGGGGCCAGAGAGCCGTTGATGCGTTGACGGCGCTTCGACCCTCCACCTGCACGGCCACGACCGCGACGTCTAGAGCGAGAGCTCACCCCTACCCGGCAACCCGGCAACGCGGCAACGCCTCAAGGGCGCCGTTCGGCTGTCACCTGCTGGCTGCCGACCGTCGAGCACGGCGGCGCACAGTGGAAGACAGAGGGAGATGGGGAGACTCCCCCTTCCCTCCCCTCCCCTCCAAACACGCACACACACACAAAACGCAGCCATGACGCGCGGCGCCCGCCGCCCACATCCACCCACCACCAGGCCCGCCCCCCGATCACACACCCACACGCGCACACATACAAATTCCAATCGTGCGCAGAAATATGACACAAAGAGCCGAGCCACATTGTGCAATTGTGGCTGCCAAATCTGATGCACCGTCGCGTCGCTGGGAAACAATTACTATCGGCATGAGGCGCGGAGCCGCGGGGAAGGTCGGTCATGCGTGACGCACATCGGCCAACGCGCGCCGGACGCGACGCAAACACTCAAAAATACTTAAAACTACGACAACTTTTGACCGTGACGGCGGGGCCGCACTCCGAGGCGCAGTTCTAAACAGTTTAATCGGTTGGCGTCTCGCCGCCGCGTCCCGCAGACGGCGACTTTTTAAAAAGGCGGCGGCGGGGTCACTCGTGCAAACGAGACGCAAACACGACGCAACACTGAACTCGCAGACGAGGCGAAGGAAAAAAAATTTCCGCCAAGCTAGTTGAGCAACTAGCACCAGAAAAAAACCGGGCCGACAGAGGCGAGACGCCGGCGAGACGCGTCGCGTGGCGCGTGGCGCGTGGACTCACCCCTGGTCGTACAGGCTGCAGTACGGCAGGTGCAGCTCGCGCAGGAAGGTCCAGACGTCCGCGTACCGCCACTCCAGGATCGGCGACACGCGCATCACGGCCGGCCAGCCGAGGTCCGTCTCCTGCAACAAACCGCACATGTCACTCCGTTTCGTGTCACATAGTCACGCCCCGCGACGTGCGCGACGTGCGTCACGCGAGGCGCGTGTCACTGTCACGCACTACACGCGCCCGCTTGAGAAATTAAAAGAGAACGGGACGAAACCGGATCGGGGAGCCAAGCGGCGAAGCGTTCCCCGGGGAGGGCCCGCCACGCCACCCCTTAGAGAAACACCCCCCGCCCCACCCCTCGCCTCACCAAGGACAACGTCACCGCGTTCGGGGCGCCCCGCGGCGCAGGGGGGTTAATCATTCCATAGAATTTAATATCTGAATATTTTAATTGGATCGAATCACGATTGCGCTTATTTCGCATGACGAGGGCCTTGTTGTTTCGTGGCAAATAATAGTGGCAGCAATTTGGGCACTGCTGGCCGCTCGGCATGCCGACGGCAGTCATGGCCGTCAGCACCGCCAGCGCAGCACGCCACAGGCTGCCACGGAACCGGGGCCTGCACCACCGTGCACACCGGGCACCGCCGGGCAAACACAGTGTAGGACGCCGTGAAGGATAGGGCCCAGCGGGTTCGATGACGAAGGAAACATCCATAGCAGTCGTCTAAGTCTGAAAAGATTTGAGCAAGTTTTCTGCTCGGGAAGGCAGTTGACAAACGCGATGCCCTCCTTGCCACTTCCCTGCTTCGCGTGCGCCGCCGGGCGAAGCCGGCCGGGCCGAGCTTAGCCGAGCTAATCGTAATCAAAAGGGCATCGACATAGGTACGTACACGACACGTGGGCGGGGTGGTCTGTGGGGGGTGCACTGTGGGGGGGTGGACTGTGGGGGGTGGACTGTTGGGGGTGGACTGTAGGGGGGGGGACTGGGGGGGGGGGACTGTGAGGGGGGACTGTGGGGGGGTGGGGTGGACTGTGGGGGGTGGACTGTGGGGGTCGGACTGTGGGGGGTGGACTGTGGGGGGGGGGGTGGACTGTGGGGGGTGGACTGTGGGGGGTGGACTGTGGGGGGTTGACTGTGGGGGGTGGACAATGGAGGATGGACTGCGGGGATATGGAGTGAGGGGGCGGGGCCGTGGGTGTGTGCGTAGGGCGTAGGAGATGGTCGCGGGGAAGGCGGTGCCCCCTCTGCCGCGCGTCCCGCGCCCACGCCAGAAGTAGAGACGGACAATGGCTTACCTGGAAAGCAGACAGCTTGGAGGAGTACGGATCGGTGCGCCTCACGCCAATCAGAGCCGCCTTCACTTCCGGCTTCCCTCCTAGATAGGTCCTGAGGCCCACCTTGATGGGGCCGGGCACTTCGTCCAGGTGCAGGTTGTACCTGGACAGAGACGGGGGCTTAGAAAGAACAACAACAACGCGTGCCACGAGGCCTGTGCGGGCCCGTCGCTGCAAGAGGCACCACTACGTACTGCTCGACCATGCGCGAGACGAACTCGCGGACCTCGGGGAAGGGCTCGGCGGACTGCACCCAGAAAGCGTGCAGGGGCTTGGCGGCGTGCTCGGGGTGGTGGTGGCGGATGACGGCGCACGCCAAGTGCAGCAGCACCGTGGCGTCCTTGCCGCCGTTGAAGCAGAGCACCAGCTCGTCGGGGTGGTAGCGGTTACAGCACTCGGTCAGCACCTGGTGACAGAAAGCGACGTCGGCTTCACAGAATGTGGTTCCAAGGCCAACAGCGACGCGAGGACCGCGAGAACGAACCTGGATTGTTTCGCGGAGGCACTTCCCGAAGGCAAGGTCAGGCGTAGACTCGGCGAACTGCAGCAGGTCCTCCATCGGCACGGCGCTCAAGCCCTCCACGCAACTCGGGGGCAGCTGTTCCAGCAGGAACTCGGTGGCGGCGTGCAGCGTCTCCCAGCTCGTCGACTCGAGCGTCAGCTTGGTGGGAAACCGCCAGCCGCCGCAGTTGGGGTACGAGCCGAACGCGACCTGCAAGCAGCGAGCGGCCGTCCGCGCGGAGAAGGGCAGGGCCGTCGGTACCGTCGGTTTGGCAGGTGTAGGACTCTGGCTCTAGGTGGCTCGCCGCCGCGAGCGACGCGTGCTTCCGCGGCCGGGCCGGCCGGCCGCCACATCGCCCGGCCGCCGGCAGCCGTAAAGATAAGTCCGCTTGTCCTGGGTCACGGACCTACGGGCATGCCTACGGGGCGGCGGGGAGGGGAGGGGAGGGGAGGGAGCGTCCTGCGGCCGGCCTAGTCGGCCCAGGGCCCGGACGCCAAGAAAACGAAAACAGCTGGGACGACGTACCGATCCTTTGAACTTCTCCACGGCCAAGTTGAGGGGCTGCACGATGAGGGGCTCCTCCACGTTCAGGTACACTTCTCGGCAGTGGAAGCGGACCGCCGTGCTGCCCCGGATGTCTCCCTCCAGCTGGGCGAAGGCACGACGCAGATTAGCGGGCGACCCTGCCAAAAACAATGGCAAGAAAATGTGGTTAGATGTCTAGAGTGGCGACGGCGTCAGGTCGACACAAGGCGCAAGCCGCGCAAGCAAGGCAAAGCCACTGACTCGGGCACGCGTCGTTCAGCCGAGAACACAACCACTAGTACGCAAACGTCAAGCGTCAAGCGGGGCAGGGGCGGCAGAGGCAGGGGCAGGACTAGATCGGTGGCGGCATGCACAGCGGGCCGGGGGAGGCACAGCGCACAGCCCGGCTTTCACTTTCATCCGGAGGAGAACCTGCCTGGGAAAACGAACACGTTGCGCACTTGGATGATGGGCTTGGTAATGGTGGTGTCGTGCGTGTCGAGGATGCGGTGCAGGCGGCACTCGGCGGGCACCAGGGCCATCTTCAGGACCGGGTGCAGCATCACGTCCGACTCGGAGGGCTGGCCGCCGAGGCCGAGGCCGTGAGCCGCGGCCACCATCTTGGCCACCTCGGCGTTGAAGCGGAGCGGCAGGCGGAAGGCCCGGGCCACGGCCTCGTAGGTCTTGTCGTCGTGCGTCGGCCCCACGCCGCCGCTCGTGAGGACCACGTCATACCGCCTACGGGTGCAAAAGCAGTGCAAAGGTCAGTCCGCATTATTGAGAGCGGACGGGCGAGATGAGACGAGACGCGGCCAGACGGAGAAGACGGATTAATTGAATTCGGAAAAGTTCGTTGAGCACAGAGGGGGAAAGAGGGGAAAGAGGGGGGAGGGGTGAAAGTGCTTTTATATTGTCCTGGGGTCTGGGGTCCCACTCGTCTCCACGCGCGGCTAGAAAAGGTTAGAGGTGAAGCTTCGGCCTCGGCGGCCTCGGCCGAGATAAGGCACCTGCTGCTTGTGTGGGCGGTCTGTCATGTTGTGCAATGCGAGCATGGCTGTGCCGGGCCCACAATTGCATATAAACAATGACGGTCAAGCCTCTCAAGTCCAAGAGTCGGTGCGCCAGCCAGCCGGAGCCAAATGGGTTGCCTATCCTTGGCCCCTGCGCAGAGACGCCTTCACACGCCCCCACGCCCCAGCCAGCTGCGCGATGGGTGGCCTACCCGGCACGGCGCCTCGGGGAAGGCCCGGCCCGCCTGGCCTGGTGGCCTGGCCGTGGCCGTGCAGTCAGGCGCCTCGCACGGTCCACGTCACTGCAAAAGCAGTGGTACCGGGCAGGGCGCAAGGCGAGGCCCTGAGCGGCCCTGAGGAGCCCAGAGGATACGTACCCGGAAAACTCTCGGATCTCGTTGGCGACGGCCTCCACGTCGTCTGGCACCACCACCACCTTGAGCAGGCGCACGCCCAGCCGGTGCAGTCTCTGGCTGACGAAGTGCGAGTTGGTGTCGGGCACGGCGCCGCTCAGGACTTCGTCGCCCACGACAACTAGGCCGGCCGTTCGGGCAGCCTGTGCGACCGCAACCATGCTCTCCCTGCAACAAGCCGAGAACGTCGTCAGAGAGGAGGCGCGTGCTTCGCTGTGGCATTGCCAAGCATTTCGAGATTGTTTCTCTTACATGCGTGAGGCGTCACAAGTAGTGTGCAAGCTGCCATTCGCATCAGGAATGCTACAGTGAGACCAACCATTCAAAAACCCGTTTTTTTCTTGTGTTCCTTTTTTAAATTGTATTTTAAATACTTGAGTGAATTAATGTTTCTTTTTACGTTCTTTATTTCTTAGTTCACTGCACAAACAAAATCATGGAAGTATGTAATCAGGGAGAAATAAAAGAACTAAGGCACGTCACCTTAAACTTTTTAATTTATTAAAATTTAGATACTGTTTACATATGTTTTAGAAAAAGAAATTTGGAGAGGCAGAAAAGCTACTTTGACGATCCCAGTTTTATATCACTAAATTTATCTATATCTTGCACTCGTTTCTTATGGTCTTCAGCCTGCTGAGCCCTCTCTGCAGCCATCTTTTGCATTTCTCCTTTTATATTTCCCTTGTCTGCTACAACTGAAGGCTTCTGCTGCATCAAAGTTGAATGGAGTGATTCCAGTTGGCTGTCGACTTGAACAATTTTCTGTTTTGTCACTTGGTTTAACTGTGCAAAAGAGTAAGGGTCAAGTGTTAAAAAAAATAGTACTACTTAACATATTACAGTCTTCAAGCAGTTTTTTTAAAAAGAAACCAGCTTACTTTTTTGAGTTGTCCAGCAACTTGCTTGGCTTTATTTTTAATTTTGAGACTGCGTGCACCTGCCACTTTGAAGACATGGTTAGTTTTCACTTTACTTCCTTTATTCTTTCCCATAGTTGCAATAGACCTGTAACCAACAGAAAATTCTCCCGTCACACAACATAAAATAATGTGAGTAGCACACTGACCACAGAAAAAGAGATGGGCAATGCTCACATTTTTTACATTTGTACAGGTAACTGACATACACACTATTCAATTCTGTTCGCTACCATCTCGGATGCAAACTTTTTTGGTCGCTGGTTCATCTGAGTCATTACCAAATAGAATATTTTCTGGTAATGAAAAAGATACTCTCATCATATCTTTATTGTTAGATACAGTGCGAACAAGGAAAACCTTCTTCAGGTTCTCATTCAACTCTGTGCCCAAATGATGCTCCACTAGTTCCTGTGCAGCTTTTGATGAGTCCTCAGCGTTTTTAATAAAACAATATACATGAACGATGGGGCTTATAAATGTAGATGGCTTTTCACTTTCCAAAAATAGGAATTTAAAGTTTTTTAAGAATTCAACAGCCATGGCTGGAAGATTCATGGTTATGTGACATGGTTTATGGTTGTCTCCAGACCAATACTTTTCTAAATCTGCCTTGATATCAGAGCGTATGAAATCTGCTCCATCTTTGTTAAATACAGTTACTCTGTCAGACACCTTATTGGATTTGACATTATGTTGCAACCATTTAAAAGACTCGGGATTTAAATCATTTGCAAGAACTCTACATTTTTTCTTTGCAGCTGGGACAGCAAATGGACCAACACCAGCAAACACATCATAGAGGATGCTGCCACTGTCAATTTCATTCACAACTCTTTCATGCTCCCCAACTAGTCTAGGATTCCAATAAACTTTGGAGAAATCAAACTCAAATTTGCAGTGGTTCTCTTTGACCTGAGTCAACATATTTTCATCTCCAGCCAAAAGCTCTATTTGAAATGTTCGGAAAGTAGAGTCAATTGAATTAGCTTTGTTAACAACAGAGCGAGCTTGCTTATTTTTATCAAGTAAAACCTGACCAATGAGGTGCTTGTAGTCTAATAAATGGTCACGTAGGTTTACATGAATTATATGTCCAATAGTTGACCAGCTTGAAACTCCCTCTTGGTCTTGAGGTAACACAGTTTTCAATATGCCTTCAGCAAGCCAGTTTTCATATGACAATATTATTTCACACATCTTGAAGTCATTGTCCTTTAGACCTCCTAGCTTTTCTTTCTCATCACTAGCCAAACAATCCATTAATTTAAATGGATCTAAAATGATCTTTTTATCAGAAGATCCTTCAATAGTTTGAACTGGGTTCAAGTTAGGCATTTTAAGTAAATATTTTTTGGTAACTTTCAGTGTGTTGGGAATATTTTCTTTAGATACCAACAAATAAGGAACATAAATAGATTTTGAAAACTTTTCCCTGTCTAGAATTTTCATGCCATTTACAGAAGAAGGTGGTAGCAGCAAGTCCTTCTCCAGAACACAGTCTTGCAATGATAGCATTGTCATTGAGAGACAATTAGAGCCCACAGCAAAGGATTGGAAAAGACCTGCAATAGCGGTCTGAATGCTCTTAATTACTCCTCGCCGCATAGGAAAGTCTCTTTCCTTTTACGCCAAAACCTGTCAAACAAAAACATTGGCGATACTTGCAAGCTGAGATTTTCTGCAATACAATTATGTAAGAATGATCACAAGTCTCACAAGAAAAATGTTTTCGTATAATTAGCCCTCATCTCATCTGATGCCTACGTTGCGCTTTATTAGTACTGATACATTGATGTTCTTTGCCAAGTCAGAGGCATTAAAGCAGATTTACTTCAAATAAAACAGACTATAACGAGAAGCACTTAATAAAAATATAAAAAGTGAGGACCAAATCAAAATTAACTGGGCTGAGAGTCAAGTTGAAAAAGTGCACAGAACATAAGAGAACCAGCAAGGTTCCAAATTTTATTTAATGGAAATAAGTGGGTACTCAGGAACCATAAAAGTCACCATAGGATGGAGCTTACACTGCAGACAGGAGCAGAATACACTTGAATAAGTCATGCGCTTGAAAGTGCAGAAATATTGGATGGATGTGTATCTCAAACCTAACTAGTGCGAACAACGTGCTTTTCAGAAACAGCGAACGATTGAAGACAGGTCTTCAAAATGTAATAATCAAGAAAAACTTACCGGGACGGTTCAAATGAAGACCTTGCAGCTTCAAAGCAATGTGTAATAAAGTTTCTGTAGATCAAAACCGATACTGCTCTTCCCGTGTTTACCTAGGTTATGTGGCAGCACAACAAAAAGGAAGGAAGGACAAGCACGTGGCGCGACCACATTCCATTTCACATTGCGGTTTGCGGCGTATGAGAAGTTTAGTTGACAACAGTATTATGCAGCGCAGAGATTCTCATGAGGGAATGGCCAGCGGGAAAGGGCGCCAACTGAAGGGCCGTTTGACTTTACTATGCGACCCGACACGTCTTGGGGGAGAGGGAGGAGGAATCCACGGTGAAGTCGTCGTCGTGTCGGTGTCCGCGGGACTGCATAGAAAACCAATGCGGCTTTCGGGGCTTTCTTTTGAAAATCAAGGGAATTGGGCCTTGCCAAGTTAAGGATTTGTGTACCGATCTACAGATCTACATATCTAAAGATCTACAAAAAAAAAATGGACAGTGTGGAAGAGTGGGGGAACGCAAACACTGTCCATATTTTGTAGATCTGTAGATCGGTACACAAATCCTTAACTTGATAAGGCCTAGATTCGAGGGGGTAACGACTTCGGGAATCCGGCTGACAGCAAATTGGTAATCCGTAATCCGGATAACCCGAAATTTTGATGTAATCCGGGGTAATCCGGGAAAATTTTGAGGTAATCCGGGGTAATCCAGCTAAATCCAAAGGTAATCTAGGAATTTTTTTGTTGTAATCCGGAGGTAGTTTGGGGGTAATCCGGGGTAATCCGAGGTAATCCTTAATCCGGCTGACACGAAATTTACCAGTCGTTACCCCCTCGCCTAGATTGATTCAGCTCTTTCTATTCAATAGCAATTTTTTTTTCGAATCGAGGTAGTATGCACATGTAACTTATTGATGAAATTCGATGGTGACATGAAATAGTCACCACATCTAACCAAAAGAAGCCACCACGATTGTTTTTTTTTTTTCATGTCCCATGTCAGCATGTCCGGCGAAAGTATTTACTTTGACGTTGGCCATGTCCGACCGACAATCCAAGCTGTACTCTCCACAATAAAGCAACGATTCTTCGTGTCGACGAGTTCGTTTGTTGTTTGTTGTTTCTTTTCGTCAGGTTAGGTTTACCAGCAACGTTAAATCAACCTAGGTGACAGAAAGTAGAAGGTCTCAACGAAACCTTGCGGAATGCCGCGGAGTCCGTTCCGTTTGTCGTGCGAAAACGCATACTGCTCAAGTCCTCTTGGGACAGGCAGTCAAGCCGGGTTTAAGGGGCTCTCGACAGGAGGACTGATTGTGTATGCATTGCTTCAGGCAACGGGGGCCTGTGCAGCGTGCGTCATGATGGTCCCGCCAGGCGCTTAGAAAATGTGACAGGGGGAAGGGGAGGGGCGGTCGCCCCGTCGCCCTCCCACCTTAAGCCGCGCCTGCAAGCAGCAGCCCGGGATAGAGTGTAAAAGACAAAAACACTTGATTCTTTGCAGGGGGCCGACTGCTGATCTTGCGAGTGGACGTGGGCCCGCCTTGGCCCGCCTTGGCCCGCCTTCGCACGGCTTTGCTGCTTTGCTCGTGCCAGCGGCGGAGTGGCGGAGCGGCGCCTCGTTTCGAAACTGCCCCTTGCCCTCTGCTCCGCTGACCGAATTCTTTCTTACCTGACTGAGTTGCGCTTATTGGCTCGCTGCATTCCTTGGCCTTCGGCCAGCACAACAAGGCCCAGTGTAGTGGTGTGTAGCGGGCCGCCTAGGAGCCGATCGGGTATTTTTGGCAGGGTCCAAGCGGCAAAGTGGCGCGAAGCAACGTCCCCGAAGGCGCTCACCTCGTGAGTGACGGTTCAGAAATAATTGCAACTTTGATTCGAGAAAAACGGATATGGATTTAGAATCCGCTGTTTCCTTGGTGGGGCCTACCTCTCGTCCGTTTTCTCGTTTCAAAGAGACGAGGGCCCTTTTTCTGTCCCCCTTTTTTCCTGCTCAGGGGGTCTCCAATGCGGACCCCTTTTCTTCACGCAAAGGGGGTCCAAAAAGGGGTGCTGTTGACGCGATGCAGAACGGCGCCGGTGATGACTCTCCGTGCACGCCACAAGTTGCTATTCAGAGGAGTGACGGCCACGATATCGCGGCTTTCGAAGTACGGCCAAGTCCTTGTTTCTATGAAAAGCGCCATGGCTCATGTGTTAAGTGTAAGTCTCCAACGAGAAAGGTCCAAGGATCGAATCCCGTCTCCGGCGTCACTTCGCGTACGCGCATCATGCCCCGGACACATTTTAGGCACTTCAGAACGATCCATTTCTGTAAGGGGAGGCGTGGATTCAGGGAGAAAGAGAGAGGGGGTTTTGCTCCCCCTGAAGGAGGCGCAGCCGACTGAAAGGTAGTCAAAAAATCGCACTCGGCACCGAAGCAACAACTCCAACAAGCAATTCTGGGCGGCCCGGCCCGCCCGCAAGGCTCGCCGCAAACCCGGCCTCCGCCGTCCTCCTCGCTCGGCTGTGACTCCTGGCGGGCGGAAGACTGGTGGGCGCATCGCATGGGAAAGAGAGAGAGGCTTTTGATGAACGAAAACGCCCCCAGGAATCGGAAGCTATGCTGACATTACACGACAAGTCACGCAGGAAAAGGTTCGTAAAATACGCAGAAGTCCAGAATTTCAAGAATCTCTTCTCTTTTTGGTGCAGAGTCGTCACGGAGGCGACTCGGGAGAAGATTTTTGAGTGCAGGATCTTGGACAAAGACCTACAATAGTTTCTCACAAACACGAGCGCCCTGCACACATTCGGCAGCCGTGCCAACTTTCCCAGTATTTGTTTATGGGCTTTGAATTTGAAATGGTAGAGGGCCTGATGTTGATCAGCACTCTAACGAAACTGAATGATACGTATTTCGCGCTTGGGCCGGCTTGGGCGGTCCGGCCCCCGACCCGCAGCCGGTGGCGCGGCAGGAGCGATTCGGGCTAGCTTCCCTCCGGCCTCCACCCCGAGCCGCCCGAGCCCCACTCGCCCGCCCACCCTCTGAGAGACCCTCGCGCCTGTCGAATCCACGCCTGCTCCAACAAACCCCACGCTGCCCTACGCCGAGGTGCGCTCTCGCGCGGTACCAGAGGTCTGCAATGGACACTTCTGGCTCGAACCGATAGCTGCCGCGACCAAAGCCACTTGGAACCGATCCGAACCGTTGGCTTCATAGCCATTGGATCTACAAGAACTGTTGACCACCTTCGAGTCCCGGCACCGCCATCATTTTTTTGAGGGATTTTTTTTGCTGTGGCAGCCGCTAGATGTTCGGCCGTCTGTATGGAACAAGCGCTTGCTTTTGCGCGGTTACAAACAGTCATTTACACCGAAAAAAATGATTGCCTCTGCCGGGATTCGAAGCCGCCTTGCCAAGTCGACTCGTGAAGCTCAGCGACGGAACCGAGTCATGCCATCTCTCTCGCACCATAGGGAGCGCTGGAACTGGGTGGACTGTCCATTGCAGACCTCTACGCGGTACCAAGAAGGGTGGCATTGTCATGCCGCCTTTCCAGAAACCGGCGACTGGTTGAAAAGGGGACAGAAAAAGTACCCCATCAAACGTGATCTTTTCTGTTTTTGATCCGTTTCTTGTTATGTCCCAGTAGCGTGAACGAACAGCACGAAAACTAACAACGAACCTAACCTTAAGTCAAACTGCCTTCGAGACCTGCGGGACGCCTGGAGTGAAGGCAATGTGCCCATGGTGTAGGGTCACACATGCACTGATTATCCAAGTGTAGCCGGTGAGCGAGCTTGGGTATTTACACTACTCACAGGTCAGCACCCTTCTAGATCACCACCCCAGCCCCCTGCCCCTCACCACTCGGCAAAACAACACATGGTACCCACAACGGAGTCATGTACGCCACTCCTCTTTAAAATTTTGTTTAAAATAAAATAAAAAATTGAACCCTACGACCCTCTCTGCCCGCTATGGGGTTCGAGCCGCCTGCTTAACTTCGGTGTTCGGATGGGAACCGGTGTATCCAGGCTTTAAACTGTTACCGAATAGTTCAGCTTCTGTAGGACAGCTATAGCCTTCCACACATGAAGGACCGCCTTATGAGGGCAGCCGGCGATCGTAGGGTGACAGAGATAGAGAGACAGAGAGAGATAGAAAAGGACTTTGGTGTTCGTCACGGGCCTGGTGCTCCCGTAGTACCGGGTTGTCCGCCGGATCCTCAGGCCAGATTGCCACGTTTCCCACACCGTATCGGCTCCCTTCCCACTCGGCGAGCCACTGCTGGTACAACGGAGTCATACGCCACCCTTCCCGTCGGACGATGGCCGACCGCCGAGAGGTTGTATACATACCTCACGGAGTGAAGGGAGTCATCGCCGCGAGGGAAGCGCCCGTCGACGCAAAATTGCGAAGTCAGAATGTGGTCCGAAAATTGTGACCTCAGCGGGCATCGATCCCCGGTCCATCGGGTTGGTAGGCCGACGCCCCAACACTCTCAGCCACCGCAGCTCATGGAGACCAACCGGTAAGGCGGTGAGTGTGCCAGGCTGATATCGCTTCGCCCTGTTAGCGTGCAAAAAAGGGTAAAGAATCGGCGGGACTCGAACTACCAACCTCATTATTACGTGTCAACGCCTCTACGCTCTCGCCTACCATCGGCTGTGGAGTGCGATATGTCAAGCAGGGTACTTAAGACAGCAGTGAACTTGAGGAGAAATGTGTGAAGTGGCGTGTCGCAGTTTTTCCTCACGTTCCCGGTGGGTGACCTACGTTTTTAATTAGCCTCGCAGCATCGATCACATTGCGAAATCCAGTTTGCTGCATTCGAGTCTGGCTGCGCCTTTCCATTCGGGGAAGGTGAAGCTCTGTTTTTGTTTGTTTTGCGGGGAGGGGGAGAGAGAGAGAGAGAGAGAGAGAGAGAGAGAGAGAGAGAGAGAGAGAGAGAGAGAGAGAGAGAGAGAGAGAGACAGAGAGACAGAGAGAGACAGAGAGACAGAGAGAGACAGAGAGAGAGAACGCACCCGATACATCATCAGATACGTCATCAGATGACGCACGGCTGTTTCGAGGCCGTTTCTCAATTCGGCTCAACAAAAACCAAACCGAGTTTGGAGTGCCATTGGTGGAGTGCCGTTGAAGGGTTGAGCGATTGCAGAACGCTGACGGCGAGCGTGTTTCTGCAGACCCCTTACCCCTTCGTCCTCGTGTTCCGCCATTATTTCATAAAAAAATCAAAATGAACAGTATTTAATGCATGCGGCCCGGCGGCCTGGCGGCGGAGGCGTGTACAATAGCGATGAAAGGACACATGACT